AATAGTACCTGCTCTGTGAGGGTCCATGGGGGTCCTGACCACTGAAGAACAGGGTAAAAGGGGGCTAACAAAGTATGCAGAGAAACAGATGGACTACAGTCTGTAATTGTAGAACTACAAAGTGCATCTATATAGTAAGTGGAGCTGAAAAAATGGACAATGAGCGTAGAAACAAGGTCATAATGTTATGCCTGATCGGTGTATAGCAATATAATCACAATACTAGCATTTTGTTTGTATCATATAGACGTAGTCCTTTCAGTAGTGTTAATTTTTCTTTGTGACATGTTTGACAGCCTTTTTGATGTGGGTGGTGGACATAAATAAGGTTATTCATGAATAGCTTATACGTTGTGAACTGCTTTAAGCACCAAGTCAGTGTTGAGTGTATTCAGTCATTTCCTCACAACTGCTAGAAGTTTATCACAAAGTAGGATGATAAGCTTTGCAACTGCAGTTACACTGCAGTGATTACAGGAGTTTTAGAGATTCGGGGGGAGATCTGTCTGAATCCACAGTGTCTTGGATTCTCTGTCACAGCAAAGAATGATTTGAGTCAGAACTGGTTGAATGGATCATCCATCATCATCTGTGAAGGTATAAGTTACAATAATGGACCTGCATTAGAAGTCTTGTTAGCATTAAACAGTTATTTCAGAATGTGAAAGCCATGTTGTTCCTGCTGTGTGGTCTATGCTGCAAATAGGTACATTTCTGCCGGTTACTCTGCTCTGTTGTAATATTTCAGAAAGGTTATATAAAGGAGGCTTGTGTGGGTGCACATGCAATCCCTTCTCAGTGTGAAATATGTCAAAAATGTCACATGTACTTTGTGGGAAATTCCACCATTATATCTAGTAGCTCAGTTGCAGCTGTATTACAAATCATGTTGGGAATTCCTCCTAAAGGTCCTGAAAAGTGAGGTTGTGTAAAATGAGGAAATGGGAAAAATTATTTGCATGCTTTTAAAATGGAGTCGAATATTTTATTTTAGGGCCTTCATCCGTTTACCATAGTCATAGAATAAAACAAAAAACAGAATGTAGTGATGTACAAATCTTTTAAACCCTATATGTAATTGAAAATAGTACAAAGATAACATATCAAATGTTGAAACTGAGAATTTTCATTGTTTTAAAAAAAAGTTTCAAAAAAGTTGGGACGGGGCATTGAAATTTCAGAAGTCAAGATGATATCAGTACATGATATCATAAAAAGATTCAGAGAATCTGGAAAAATCTCTGTGTGCCAGGGACAAGGCCAAAAACCAGTATTGGCTGGCCGTGATCTTCGGGCCCTCAGGCAGCACTGCATTACAAACAGATACGATTCTTTAGTTGAAATCACTGCATGGGCTCAGGAGCACTTCCAAACACCACAGTCTGTGAACACAGTTTGTCGCTACATCCAAAAATGCAAGTTAAAACTCTGACATGCAAAGAAGAAACCATATATAAACAGGATACACAACTTGGTACCCAAGTTATTTTTCCCTGTATAGGCAGCAACTCAACACTCTGGGCTGACAGAAACACATTTGTTCAAAATGTACTTCCTTCATACTTGGTGCATTAGACTTTGATTTGTAAAAGTTTACTAGAGATGAGTGTCAGTTACTTGCAAAGTATGAACTGAATTACTACAATACCACTGAGTATCGAATAACGCCATTCAGTACTCTGTAAACCTGCATAAGTTAGCCAAGCTCAAAATAATTAATCAGTCTCCTTGATATTTTTAAGCTTATGAATATAAAAGTTAAAAGAACTTACAGGTTTAGGATTACATTTACAACATTTGGCAGCCGCTCTCATCCAGAGCCCAGGCACCTTATGCTATAGCAATAAGAGTCCTTAGACAAGACTCCTAACACTACTACCTTCACCTGCCTCTGTAAAATAATGATCAAATTGTAAGTTACTCTGGATTAGAGCATCTGCCAAAAGTGTTGTGTAAATGTAACCCTAAACCTATAAGTTCTACAAATGTCTAACTTTTGAATTTATAAGCTTAAAAATATCTGTGAAAATGATTAATTGTATTAATACATAATCAATTAGTTATTAAGTCAACACAAATAAACCCTTAAAAGTTATTACAACTCAAAAAGACATGAGTGTTGACATGAATACTTTATTGCAATGGATAGTTCAAGTACTCTATGACAAACAGTTTGCTTCAAAATGTCCAGAATCACCCATTTCAGAGGATTCCATTGGTTTAGTGTGCTTGGCCACAACCAGTTTTTTACCACAAAACAGTAGACGGACCTAAACTAGGACATAAACCACCATCATGGTAAATATAACACACCTGTAAATACTTGCTAAACTAACCTTTGACACGTTATAACACAAAATTAATATATTTGAAAATAACTGATAAAAATAAGCTATAATAACAGAAACCAACAAAATGGCATAGACTGCTGGGAAGCTCTGCATTCTGTACTAAATCAAAACTCTACTATTCAAAAGTTACTTAAACTTAAAAAGGAAGAAAATGTTGACCTCATTTGAACACAGTTTTGATGTGTTTGTTTAAGGTATGTTTTAAGTTTTCTTCACTCCATTCAGTTAATGAATTTCACCTATGGGGTTCACAATGTATGAAATTCAATACATAAAAGTAGTCAGTCTTGTTGGCATCCGCGAGCCAATAAGCATGCTTGTTCCAAAATCTAGATTAGTGATTGGCTGTTTAAATTACATTCCATATACATGTTACTAACATCGGTGCTTCTTGATTAGTCTGCACTATAAATATACTTACTTCCAGTGCCTCACACTCAAAACAGGTATCAGGAAAAAGCTTTGTTTAGGAATTGGTTCCAAAGTCAACGTAGCGGTATTGGTATTAATAATCACGATGTGAGATTACGCTTTTATCACACAAAGATTTTCTCTGTTACAGTTTTATCAGAATACATACATAAAACGGGATCTAAAATGCCTTTGTTAAGTCATATATAAATCTAAAGAGGAGACACAGCCTCCCACCCCCTGCCAAAAGTTTAATATTTTAAACTGAGTTGAAAGTCACATGGTCTGGCCATCACAGCACTGTTTCACTGCATGAGCAAGGTCAGCCTCTGCCTTATGCTGTAGGACTCAAGGACATGAATCCTCTTGCATTCTGAATAGTGAAGAGAGAAAGCATGTCAGTACCGCTCAGTGCTAGCAACTGTTTTCTTTACAGTCATAGCATACAAGATTCCACTTGATGTGCTGAGAGCGACTTGCTTTAGAATAGAGATAATCCAGTCCAGTTACATTAGTCATGATTGGCATCTGCATACAGTGCATATAAATGAACAATGATGTCTATATTTTGAGAGATCAGATAGTAAAGACTGCAAAAAACTAAGACTGACCTGACACTGACCTTACAAAAGTTTTACAAGCTCCCAGTCTTTGCTTCAATTAGTAGAGAGTGAAAAGCCACCAACATTGTGTGTGTGCTCATCTATGCGTGTGTGCATGCTGACCAAGCGCACTGCAAGTTAGCGGTGATGGGCTAGCGCATGTCATCTTTTATTCCTGGCCTGGTGTAAATTGATCACTCTGTGTCTACTGCATAACGGATCTTGGCTCTCTGATACTAGCACTCTTCCCCTCTGTTAAATCTCTCGTCACCTCTGAAGTCCTGCTGCCACAGTTTTTACTTTATTCTTTGGGGACAGATATTGCAGAACCCAAAGGCTACATACCTAAACCCTGACATTTTCAAAAGCAAAGTCCACTGAGGTTAAGTGGAAAAGGGGTTTGATATGAGCTAAAGCTGGTTTTCTTATGTTCTCACTCTCCACAGCGGTTTTCATTTAAAAAAAATGCATTTGCGATGCTATTCAGCAATAATACAATGTCTCAGAAGAATTCAAACAATATTTCTTGGCATTGGCTTTTTTCAAAAGACAACTAATCGATTCAATTCACTGTCACAAGCAAAAACAAGAAGTGCACATTTACTCAGCTTTTAGTTTTACTTGGAATATTTCAGTCTGTCAGCTGTCTGTCAGTATGGCCATTTGTTAGGTCCATTTGAGTTACACCCAGGAGACTTAGGCCTTGTTTTGGTCTTTCTGTTGGGTCAGCTTTGATCACAGACTCTCAGCATTTTGGACATGATGCCCCAGTAGTGTGAATGCAGGAGAACAAAGGAAGTTATGACTGGCAGGAAATGGACTGATTAAGCTGACAATTATGTCTCCATTAAATGGAGCACAGGTAGCTGTGGTGTCAGATTTCTGTGCATGTCTGACTATGTGTGTCATGTCGATATGGCGGCTAGGCTTCTCTATGACCCTCTGGAGCTATTTTTGACATAAGCCTGACTCTGCGCTGTTTTTTTTTAATGATAGCTGCCATTAGTGCTTTACCTGCAAGTAACTGACACTACGAGCTACTGATCAATACATCCTTCAGGGACACAAGCAGAAGATCAGAAACAGATCTTGACTAGTGGAAATGCTCATTAGAGTGCCTGATTTGGTACAATGAAAAGTATTAATATCAAGAGGCACAGTATGTCAATAACTAACACAAGATGCAAAATGAAAAAATAAACATGAAAAATAAAAGTGAGGTGCAAATTAAAATGTATGGAATCACCATTAGAAACTTTGAAATCAAGCTAGAAAGAAATTTTAGGTGTGTAGAATAATGAACAAAGCTGTAAATGAAGCTGAGAAATAAGTCATAACATCCTCTACAGGGAACAAACGTAAATATGATATTTTTATGTAAATATTACTTCACAATTTCTATTTATTTGTTGAGTTTAATGCATTGTCAAAACATTAGCACAGGCCACATTTCATAGGTATTTTCCCCAATATGTTAAATTCATCAAATAAACAGTAACTGTGTATGTACAGACACGTGTTCTCTGTAGAGGATGTGCTGCACTACTGAACAGTAATGTTGTTGCCAAACTAATAATCAGAGAGGGGGAGGTCAGTAATGAAGCTCTACTCATTTTTATTGCATAATCTGTTGTAGGAGATGAAGGCTCAGACTCTCATGCTGAGACTCCAGCCAGCGAGGCCAGCAGAGAGAGAAGCTCCTATCAGATGTGCGCCAGTGTAGTTCTGAAGGTGCTGGGCGGCTTGCTGGTGGTCCTGTGTGTGTCCTCATCCTGGGTAGGAACTACTCAGGTGGTCCAGCGCACCTTTAAGTCCTTCTCCTGTCCTTTCTTCATCTCCTGGTTCAGTACCAACTGGAACATCCTCTTCTTTCCTCTCTACTACTCCGGCCATGTGGCCATCACCAGGGAGAAGCAGACGCCCATTCAGAAATTCAGGTGAGTGCAGGAAGATTTGCATACAGCAGAGGAGCTTTCTAGACCTTTAGAGAGGGTCTCATGATTTCTAGGAGCTAATAAAAATGCTCTTAAGTCTGTGTTCATTTTATACAACTGTTATATTTCAACTCTTCAAGTATAGTACTAATAGTCTAATTTTATTTTAAGTTTTGGTTGGTAACAAAGGGGTTAAAACCTTGAAACAGAAAACAATCTAATCAAGACTGTTTTTTTCACATGGTATCAAAGTAGATACCAAGTGAGCTCTCGCATTGTTTAGGCCTTCAGAAGCTGGACTAAAGGCCTTTTGCGTCTGATAAACCACCAGCATAATTAAGAAGTGACTGTGGGAAACAGTCACTCTAAGCCTTCTAGACGTCCTACACTCATTAACTTATTAGTTCACTCACTATTAGCTACGTAGCGTTTGTTATACAGTGAACTTGTTGGAAAATGACCATGGATTGACAAGAGAAATTGATCATTTGGACAGTTGTACAGTGGTTGACATATTACATAGTACACCATTGTTATAACAGAGAATTAGAAATCCCATAGGAGCACTAGCATAAATTAACATCATAGTAGAATTGTTCTTTTCTCTTTTTTTTGACCAAGTTTTGACATTTGTGGCCCTAACTGAAGGCCTGGCTGTAATGGTAACAGTTCGCCTGTGGCATACAGCAGAGGAGCCAAATTTTGCTATGCAGCAATTTAATGTAATTCGACCAAATTTGCGAACAAAAACAAACCATAACAGCTGATTTGGAGAGCACCTATATGAAATTCTTGTGACTGCTGATAATTTACATGCTGTTGTGGCCGATACAAATACTAATAACTTTGTATTTAAAACATGTAAACAAGTTCATACGGTAATCCATGTGAAGTATGGTGAACATTAGACGGATTAAAATTTTAAAGATTAATCACTAATTAATTCTATATAGCTAAATGAAACATGATTAAAACATTCACAGCAACCCAGAATCAGTAATAGGTGAATGTCACATTAGAAGCATTGCAGAAAAAAATCTTATTGATATAGCAGTGGCATTCTGGCTTGGAAATGGAATCTCCTGAGTGTGGTTATCTACTAGACTACTCATTTCAGTGAGTTTGAGACAGAAATGCCCATTAATATGTCTTTTTCAGTGTCTACAGCAGCGCATCAAGTTATCCATTGTAATTATAAGCTATAATTCTATCATTGGACTGATAATGATAATTAAATTTTCACATTTATTGGCAAATAATATAACAGGTGCCGATATATCCTACACCCTTAGTGGATATTGTAAAAACTGAGGAAACCGAACTTTGTCTCCCCTGTGTTTCTCTGGGTAGGGAGTGCAGTCGACTGTTTGGGGAAGAAGGGATGACTCTGAAGCTGTTTCTGAAGAGGACAGCACCTTTCTCCATTTTATGGACGTTGACTAACTATCTGTACCTGCTGGCATTGAGGAAACTCACAGCCACAGATGTTTCAGCACTCTACTGCTGCCACAAGGCTTTTGTCTTCCTCCTGTCCTGGATCGTCCTCAAAGATCGCTTCATGGGTGTGCGGGTCTGTATCTTTAATGTAGCTAATGCATCTCTAACCTATAATAATTAATGGCTAATTAAACAGATGAGCCCGATTGTAAGTGCTATTATTGTGAAATGGAAATGTCTAGGAGCAACAACAGCTCAGCCACAAGTGGTAGGCTGCTGAATGCTTAAGTGTATAGCACATAAAACTCGCCTGTTCTCTGTTGCATTACTCACTACAGACTTCCAGACCACCTCTAGAACCAACATCAGCACTAGAGCTGTGTTGGGAGCTTCGTGAAATAGGTTTCTGGGGCCCAGCAGCTGCACACAAGCTTAAGATCACTATGCGCGATGCCAAGCATCAAATGAGTGATGTAAAGCACATCACCACTAGAGTTTGGAGCAGTGGAAACGTGATCTCTGAAATGATGAATCACACTATCACTATCTTGCAGTCTGATGGACAAATCTGGGTTTGGCGGATGCCAGGAGAACACAACCTACCAGAATACATAGTGCCAACAGTAAAGTTTGGTGGAAGAGAGATAATGGTCTGGGACTAATTTTCAGGGTTTGGGCTCAGCCCCTTAGTTCCAGTGAAGGGAAATGTTAATGCTACAGCATCTCAAGACATTTTAAATCCTAATGTGCTTCCAACTGTGTGGCAGCAGTTTGGGGAAGGCCCTTTCCGATTTCAGCATCACTGTGCCCCTGTGCACAAAGTGAGGTCCATTAACGACATGGATTGATGAGTTTGGTGTGGAGGAACTCCAGTGGCCTGCATAGAGCCAAGGCCTCAACCCCAGTGAACGCCTTTGAGATGAATTGGAACGTTGAATGGGCACAAAATTCCACAAACACTCCAAAAAGCTGTCCCAGCAGAGTTTGGGTTATTATAGCTATAAATGGGGGCCGACTCCATATTAATGGCCATTGTTTTGCAATAGGATGTCCAACAAGCTCCTATAGGTGCGACGATCAGGTGTCCACATACTTTTAGTGTAAGTAGGTCATTAGGGTTCTTGACTCTGTGAAATTTAACAATCATATTAAATTCTAAGTGGGGGCACTTTTGCAACAAGCCACTGTCTCTCCCTTAATCTACATTAGGCTTAGCATCTGCACTTAGACCAGTTTTTGTTAATCCTGCTCCTGGGGAACCACTGCTCCACACTGACTGAACTGTTCTCTGCCTCATCACACCTGATCCAGCACATGAAGTCCTTGATAATCAGTTGATGAACAGGATCAGGTGGGTCTGGTGGGAAGAATTGAAATAGAGGGTCCCCAGGAGTAGCATTTAGAAACGCTGCTTCATACTGAGCATAAATCAGCGTTTCTAAATGCTACTCCTGGGGAACTGCTGCTCTGCACTGATTGAACTGCTCTCTGCCTTAACTCACCTGATCCGATCCTGAAGACTGTGATAATCTGTTGATGAACAGGATCAGGTGGGTTCGGGTGGAAGAATTGAAATAGTAGGTCCCGAGTAGCATCTAAAAACACTGCTTCAAAGACTGAGCAGAATCTCTGTTAAGTATGTGTCTGTGTTTCTGAGGACTTTACATGTAGCATTGCTTATGTTTTAAATATACTATATACATGATAAATTTATGAAATTAAGGTGCTTTGATGTTGGCGCCTAGAATGAAATACAACTTTTTTTTCCATAATGAGTATTTCAGATTGCTACCCATACGTAACTATAGAGCACTTTCCTCATCTATGCCTGTTTTCATTCCTTAGATTGTAGCTGCCATTATGGCCATCACAGGCATCGTCATGATGGCCTATGCTGATGGTTTTCATGGAGACTCCATCATAGGTGTGGCTTTAGCAGTAGGCTCTGCCTCCACCTCTGCACTCTACAAGGTGAGTGTAGTTAGCCTCCCTGCACTTTTCACATGACTGTTTTGAAAAACATCTCCTTTTTTGTTTTCTCGTGTTACTGAAGTTTGGTTTTAGTCATATTCCTGTTGGCTGTTGTCTGAAAGTTCAGTTTTGCAGAAATTTAGATATTCAGTTTTACAGAAAGTTCAGTTTTGCAGACTTTAGATTCCTGTTACCTGTTGTCTAAAAGTTCAGTATTGTAGAAGTTAAATTTTAAGTTAGTTTCCTGTTACCTATTGCCTGAAAGTGACAACAGCATCTGTCCTTCCAGGTGCTGTTTAAGATGTTCCTGGGCAGTGCCAACCTAGGAGAGGTTGCCCACTTCTTCTCCACCATGGGCTTCTTCAACCTGATTTTCATCTCCTGCGTACCCCTCATCCTCTACTTTACTAAAGTGGAGCACTGGGGTTCCCTCTCCTCTCTGCCTTGGGGCTATTTATGCGGAGTGGCCGGCCTGTGGCTTGGTGAGTGCACTGTCCACATTCAGTATCCAAACACTGTGGCGAATCTATGCATATTAGCATCAACAAATAATTTGAGGCATAAAGCTTTAACACTGGCCCACATATTGTATTTCCTGCAGATACAACACTAGAGTAAACTTTCAGGATTGCTGACAAAGGCACTTAATGCTTAGTAAGAGAGAGATTTTGGGTTTTAATCATCAGATTACACTCTGAAGTAGCATTTCATCACCTCAGCTATCCTATATGCAATGTGTCAGCAGGCATAAACCCTGATAGTAAGAGATCCACTTTGTCTTTTAAAGCTAAAGCAGAGCACTAAAGGCAGTATCTATTAGATTAGGATATTATTTATATACTCTACCATTCAAAAGCTAAGAATGACTTGCCAAGTTAATCATTTGAAGAACTTATACAGTGTGGATTTAAATATTACAGATTACTCGCTGAGAGGTGATGTTAGAGGTTTATTAAATATTTCAAGAATTCTGTGAACAAGAAAGAAATAAAATGATAAATATACTGTAATGATATATTACCAGACATACTGATCAAGTTGTCTGCCTTGAGATTTGATCACCACTTTTGAAATATGATGAATGCTGCATATTAATTTTATTGTAGCTTAGTTCTTGATGTTATACAGCTTTATCAGTCATTCTAGCTCTATTCGTCATTCTGGACACTATGCAAATTTCTTACCTTTTATTTACAGTATCCTAGTGTCCCACTATAAGTTGAAACCTGTGAGGTGGCATATTAGAATACACTAGAGTATGGGAACAGTATACACTACAGTAGGGATTGTGGGCAGATGCCACTATCTGGGATTTTTCATGTACTTATCTGCTGATGCTTATGCATACATTTTTACAAAATGTGGAAATTGGGACTAAATGAATCTAGATTAGCATTATAAAAATGTATAACATTTATTTCTGTAGGGTTACAAACGCAGTAAAAAAATACAATGCAGATATTTTAGCACAGTAGCAGAGTGTCACCTAAAGAATCTACTGTTCCAGAGATTAATAAAGACGTTAGCAAATATTTGTTTGAAATATTGGTGAAATCTAAACATCTGTCCAATGATGATATTTATTTATTTTAAGCAAAAATTCTGCTGATACCAATATGATTTCAATACCATCAGTGCCACATGGTGTTGATTCCGCATCGCCCTAGGCTTAAGGTGGGATCGTAGCATTTGAGGCTGTCATCCTGGACAGGTATTTTCATTCAGCTGGAGAAGTTTGGTAAAGAGGTGAAGAGGTGCTAGGTGCTAATGCTTTGCCTTCTTTTGATTTACAGAACATCACAAGTACAGAGCAGCACAATCAAATTGGTTTTATTGATATTACTGAAAATCATTTCAAACTGTTTGTTTGACTGCAAAATTTTTGAACACTAGTATTTGATACAGCATTGGGTATAGTAAGATAATATAGAATTTTGAGTAATTTACACTTTTCTTTGTCTTTCTCTCTCTCTTTCTCTGCAATTTGACAGTGTTCAACATTCTGGTGAATGTAGGTGTGGTTCTCACCTACCCAATCCTCATATCTATTGGGACCTTACTCAGCGTTCCAGGCAATGCAGGTGTGTGAGCTTACTGGTTCTTGCACTGAAATACGGACTGAACTCTGTCATCACAACACATACCCATATCACTCAACACACATTACAATGTAGCTGTCAGTCACTTTTTATCCAAATTACCATTCATCTTTATCAGACGCTCACAGTATATTCTCTTGCTTCTCTCGCTCTTTCGCTCACACACACACTCCCACCCTCCTGAGCAAAATGTCTCAAGTGATCAGCATTTTTATGCTCCATTCCCCCCTAACCCCCTCTACTGCTAAAAGCATCAGTGCCATTACACAGCAAATTTGCCTTGCCCAGCGTGTCTTCCTCCTTAAGACATCCAGAAGAAACCCGATCATCTGCATGTATCCACACTTGCAGCAATACCTCTCTCTTAAAAGAGAAGATCACGTTGCCAAGGCGACACTAAATGCTGGATGAAGGTACTTGTCTTTAAAAGCAGTCTGCCAAGGTCAGTAGGTTAATTCAAGCTTGGCTTTTCAGACAGCTAGCACGAGTCCCTGAGTCACTTGTGTGTATGTGTGTGTTGGGGGGGGTGACGCAGCATTAAACTACTTACTGCTCAGGTGCATCACAGTGCTTTATGAGTGTGAAGTGGCACTCGTGACTTTTTATATTCTTCTGCTGCACCTTTACTGTTTGACTTTTCTTTGGCAGCAGGAGCCAGTGGAGCTGAAATTCATCTTTAAGGACCTAATTTACTGCAGTCATTAGCCGCTTGGGCAAAGAAGCTATCATGATCCCGGCACTACTCAAGTTACTAGAATTGCATGCGCTAATCATTTCAACAAATGCAAACCTGAACTGACCCATCCATGCTTAGCCCACAAATGCATTCTTTAGCAGCTGTTGCAAAGTTGGATAAGCTAATGAGACATTGCAGTGCAAAGGGATTATGTTTTTACTGTAATGCTAGTGTTATTGATTTCAAATCAAAGCTACATAATTATTGGCACCCTTGGTAAAGACGCATTTAGTACTTTGAGCAGCCTCCATTTGCCAACATAACAGCAATGAGTTTTCTCCTATAATGCTTGAATAGATTGTAAACAGTGCAGGAAATCTGAAGAAATGCCTCAATACAAAGTCTATCCAGGGTCCTAAGTTCTCTAAGACTCAGCTCACCTCACACTTTTTCAGTGGGGTTTAGGCCAGACTGGTATGCTTATGTCAAAGGTTTGAATCTGTGGTCATTGAACCATTTTTGCATGGATTTAGATAGTCTTTGGATCACTATCCTGTTGGAAGATCCAACCATGACCCACTTTCAGCTTTTTGGTGGAGGCAGCTTGATTTTTATTCAAAATCTCCTGGTACTTGATGCTATGTATCCTAACAATGTTCAACTTTGAAGGAAAATACACCCCCAAGATCACATCACAGATCTTCCACCATACTTAACAGTGGATGAGATTCTTTTCGTTATTACCATCCTTCTTTTTACACCAAACCCACCTTAAGTGTTAATTGTCAAAAAGCTATATATGCGCATCTGACTATAGAACTCCGTCCCAGTCAAAGTTCCAGTAGCATCTAGCAAACTCCGAGTTTAGATGAAAGAGAAGGCTTTCCTTTGGCAAGTGTTCCAAATAGTTTGTTGGCACGGAGGTGGCATCTAATTGTACTTTTGTAAACTTTGTGAACCCAAAATGCTACAGTCTTCTGCAAATCTCCAACCGTGTTTTCTCTGCCTCTTCTCCAACCATCCTCCTCACTCTTCATGGTGGCAAAATACACTTGCATCCTCTTTCAGGCAGGTTCACTACAGCTCCAGTTGTTTTAAACCTCTAAATTATTGGTCCAATAGTGGATATGGAAATTTTTATAGTCTTTGCTTGATTTGTGAAGGTCATCACACTTGTGTTTCATTTCATTTGTGTATTCTGTAATCTTCCTCATGTTGATAAAAGACTACAGGAATGTGGCCTCTGTGTCACCCCAGTGGAATAAGAAGTCATGGATGACCACTTAAGAGTATATGATCAGGTGGACTTGTGAGTGAAATATTAATGGGAACACGGTCCAGTTTGCCAATAATTGTGACACATGTAATTTTGTTAAAGTAAATTTACTTTAATTAAATGTTAGATTTTTCTCCTATTTTCAGTGTGAGATTGAGCTAATTTACCACAAAGACATCCTTTTATGACTTTTTTTATCCATCTTTCCCAAGAGTGCCAGTAATTATGGAGCTGAATTTCACTTCATTCTGTATGCATTTGAAAGGTCATACTTTTAGGACAGACTGAATGTATTTTTTGTGTAATTGAGCTAAAATAAGCATACTGGCAAATTTGTTGCCATTTTCAACCTGCCTAGGTCCAGCTTGGTAGAATGCCATTTTAAACTGGAAAGCCAATTTATTTAACAAACCTCCAACCTAAATGAATTAGGTTGATTGGGATTTTTGCCAACATTATGTAAAGCTTGTCCAATCTTGTAATAGTTGCTAAGTTATTATTTAACATATTTGTTTATTTGCAGGGCATGGATGGTCAGTTGATATCCTCAAATTCTATGTCTTAGCTTTCATCAGCACCTTTGTAGCAAATTGTGAAGAGGCCCTAAGAACTGAATTCAGCTAGAAGTTACTAAATAACTAAAAAGTTGCTCTTCATCAAGGTCAGTGGTTAGACCTAGTCATGGCAGACAGCCTCGGAAAAAGAGAGACTTTAATTACTGAGATTCCTTTGCTGTAGTCTGACAAATTTCTGCAGGCAATTAAAGGGACTTATGTATTTATGCTCTGAACTAATGCAGAGTGGAAGGCAATTGATGTTACCACAGCCTTCCTAAGTATGGGTTTATTTATTTATTATTTATATTAATTACACCCAGATGGCAGAGAGTCCTAGCACATTTATGGAAACATTGCTGTTGTCTCAGAAGCAGGCTAGTTATTTCCTAATCTATGTTTACAAAGATTCCTCTGTGATTTTTCACATACCATTTTTCTCTCTTTGTTCTTCTGCTTTTTTGTTGTTTGTGTTCTTCTTGCTCTTCTTCTACTTCTCCTCAGCTATTGATGTGCTGAAACATGAGGTAATTTTTAGTGTGGTGCGTCTGGCTGCTACCTGCATCATCTGCGTGGGCTTCCTGCTCTTGCTGCTGCCTGAAGAGTGGGATACGGTCACTTTACGCTTCCTGGCCGCCCTTGCTGACAAGAAGTCTGAAGAGCATGGAGAGGAACTCACAGAGTCCAGCATCCACACGCGCAGCCGAAGCAGGGCCAATGGAGCCGTGTCCATCCCCATGGCATGACCTTCAACCTCCACACCATCTCTGACCTGGAGATGACACACTAGAGCTGAAGAAGCGCCATGAAAGCCGTGTCTGGGTCATGGCTACTTTTAGGATGTTCCGGAGGTGTTTGGTGGATGAGTGAAGAATCGTGGAGAAATTCAGTGGATATTAAACAGAGCTGTGGGATCGCTGACTCGCTGTAACAACAGCCACAACACCAACTGTGAGAAAATCGGTGCGAAATAGAGATCCATGCTGTTACTTCTCTGACATTTAAGTGAAACAACACTGGGGCATTTTTCAGGCTGGACTGAGAAAAAAAATCTCCCTTTCATAACAGAAAGATTTTTATTTGCAGTATTTATTTTTCAGCTGATATTTCATATTTGCAATTTCTGTGGGGAGAAAGACTTTCATGATTAATACAAGCAAATAGCCTTTCCTTTTGCACGCCCCTAATCCTCACCCTGCCCTTCATGTTGCCTGTTGAACCCTAAAGCCCCCACATGGACTGTATTCTGTGAATATAGACTCAATCAGGGCCAATTTGGCTCACTGTAAAATGAATGCATTCAGAGATAACTATAATACAGAGATAATTAAATTGTATCTAAAGGTATTACACTGTATATATGGAGGGGAAGTATATTATGCCATATATGAATAAGGCTCTTTTCTTTTTACAATGAAAGGAAAAATAAAGACCTGCTTCAGAATCTTCTGGTCATGATTCTATTGTTGGGAAATGGTAAAACGACCCCTAAATGGTATAAGCCAATGAAGACATTTAGGCTCTCACCATCCTCAGTGGATTCAGCAGAACGGTCTGTCGCTTCCTTTGCTCTCACATTAGACAGTTACGGGCATTTGGAAATGGGTGGCAGCCAAAAGCACAAAATGCAGTGAACCACAGCAGCATCGCAAAGGCAGTGTATCTTTTTCCATTCTAATACATACAGTTCCATTGTTTTGCAACTCAATACTATCAGCAAAAAATCCATTAAAAAATTGCCCTCTTCCTGCAAACACTTAGGATTTAGCTCATTACCTGATGTACATTTTTACAGAATTATTTTTGTAATGTTAAATTCCTGTATTTTACACAAAGAATGACTTCTAAATAACAGCACATTTCCTGTGATGTTCTAGTGATGGTAAAATGTTATGATGCTTCATCGGCACATTAATGTAGTTATTGCTTTTGACTGTTACATACAATACTGTGCAAAAGTCAGAGACCACTGTTCATCTGTTCATTTATTAAATTTTTGTTCAAAGCAGCCATTAAGTATAAGTTATTAATTTTTCAGTGTCAAGAAAAAAGCAAAAAAAAAGAGAAAAAAAAAGAAAAATCTAAGAAAAAAATATGATATATATATATATATATATCTTATATTTAAGAGAAGATTACACAGAAGCCTCAACAGCAAAATATAATGTAATATAAAATATAATATAATATAAAACTGTTCTACATCTCAGAAGTTGGTTATATTTTCTGCTTCTGTTTTGGTGGCCTACCCGGTCTTACACAGTTGGTGGGAGTTCCGTTTTCGCTGTATCTTTCCCCTTCTGTATGCAAGTGGATTATCTTATGTATAATCTCTTCAGAAATATCTCCTGAAAAATGAATAACTGGTACTTAATGGCTGAAAATTAAATAATTGAAGGATGGTCTCTGACTTTGGCACAGTACTGCAAACACAGAGGTTTCACATTTTCTGCATACACACACGTTTTCTGCATACACACTGAGAGACTGCTGAGACTGTTACTCATGTCATGCCTCTGCTACACAGGAAAAAGCTCACATCCTAGCTCTGACTGCAGTGTTTGTCACTAGTGCATTGTCTTACTGATATATGCCCTCTAATGAGAAATTTGCCTAGTGGATGTATTCCTCTTTCCTAGACTGTTGTGGATGCCCCATTAAATCAAATGAGGCAGAGAAAAGGGGTTTAGCAGAGGAAGGGGGGAAGAGTGTACACAGTCCTGAAGAACTGTTTAAATCCACATTAGGGTCTCATTATGACAAATAGCACAGCCTTCCTGGCAAATGGAGATAGCAGACTATGAGCCCACCCAATGCAAAGAGCAATGACTTAGGAACATTTGTAAAGCCACACAGGTGTGTAATATGCCAGTACACTGCATGTATCCCAAGAAAGGCAGAACAAATATTTCTTGAAACTATGAAGCTGAGGGAGTTCCAGGTATGCCTGAAGTTAACAAAGGGTAGCTAATTTTAAACCCAGAATTAGGAGTTGTAAAGAACTTGTCCTAGGAAAGCCAGAGTGTACTAAAATTACAGCATTGTTATTGTAATTCTGGCCTCTGTACCAAGAGATGGCACAATACCACTTTTCTTTTCGGATGACAAAACCAATATTGAAACCTTGTGAGCTGACTCCAGTACTGATCCAGTTTTTTTTATTTCTTTAAAAAGCACTAAGCTTTAAAATGTTTTTAATTGAAGCATCTAAAAGTAGGCCATCATGCTTAATTATTCAAACACTCTACTACCCTACATGATGTGAGCGTATAGTATTTCAGGCTAGGTCTACTACAGGATTGGATTGGAATCATTCTTTTTTTCTGATAGCCGATCCAGCATTTTCTATAGTGGTAAAAACTCTTTAAAAACGCTGCTCCACTTGATGCATTGTATAAGCACAACATGCATGCCATTATCATATTAGTGTCACTGCTGTCATAAGACATAGATCATATCTGGTCAGTGGTAGGGGGTCTTATGGTAATCCCTTTTCATTAATAGCAGAGTGCAGAGTGGCTGACAAATTGTGGATAGCAACAGATGGGCTACAGACGCTAAGTGTGTGTGAGTATTCAGACACTATATATTAAACAATATATATGTGTAGGTTACATGAGAGTAAATCAAGTTCTAGATAATGCTGCAAAAATGTCATGTAAACTGCACCTGGTGTTGTTACAAAAGATGTTGCCATTGGTCGAGTAGCAGTCATGATGAAGGTGAAGGAGCTTCCTAATGTTCGCAGGGGACAACATTGTTAAACAACACTTGAATGGAAAAAGCTACAAAGCAATAGCAAAGAGCTTAAACATCCAAGAAAAGCCAGGTGCACCATGCAATGTTTCACGACACACTCTCAGGCTATTGATAAGCAAGGTAGGAGAAAAGCCTGCAGTCACTCAAAACGAGTTGCAGGACAACCTGAAAGCAGCAGGAACAACAGCTGCACAGAGAACAATAAGCATCAAACTGCACCACAATCATCTTTGTTCCTACACCCCATGCAAAACTCAGAAAAAAAGAAATACAGAGATATGCATCTACAACCTGAGCTGTTTTGGAAGAATGTAATGAAATGAAAATAGACCTCTTTGGTGATAATTCAGCTCATCATGTTTGAAGAAAGAAGGGTTGCGCATATGATCCCAAGAACACCATACCCACAATGAAGTATGGAGGTGAGTGCATTATGATTTGGGGCTGCTTCTTTGCAAATGGTACTGAGGCATCATACATGAAGTGGAAGTGGAAATATGCACTAGAAGTATGTTAAATAACAAATTTAAAAGTGTCTGTTCTTTCCCCCCATAGTATGAGGTAAGTGTACCTGATAAACTGGCCAGTGAGTGTAGGTACAAGGAATGTGTACCTAATAAACTCCATTAAACTGGCAACTCGGTGTATAAGCTTCAGTTAGGAATTACTGGAACTGGAAGGCAATTTTTAGATAGAGGCCCAAACAACAACAACCATACTGTAATTTTAGCAAACTCTAGCTGTAGTTAGTAATTGTACACCTACAAAGTGCACCTACATGGTAGGTCTGAGTGACGAAATGACCAAAGGCAAAATACCAGAGAAAGCCCAATTCCAATGTCCAGATGTCATTTGAAGTAAAACAAATAGAAAACGTTTTAAAAAGCAGAATTGTCATAGATCCTGTCAATCATCAAGCACGGCTCCCTGAGCTGTGGCATGCCTATCCAGGCAAGCAGCAGAGACGGGCCCCTCGCCACCACTCAAGCATTTCCACTCAGTTACAGAGTAACCCATGGGGGGAGTCGTCATGGAAACCTACCTCATTACGACAAAATCTGAGAAATATAAAGCGAGGAGAGGGGCAAACACCTGCCAGTTTGTAACAGAAGTTTGCCATAGTTTTCGTAGAATTCCTATAAAAGTTCAAGAGGTCCAAGTGTTTCAGGTCCAAACATAATCCTTGTGGAAACAAATGGACGACTCCTGTGGAACACAGACAAAGTGGATTTCAGACTCATAGGCTTTATCAAGAAAAAAGAGAGAACGGACAAGAAGATGACTCTGGGCTTTGGAGGTGAAAGCGATATGGGCCAAAGGCTTAGGGCCTTGGATTGCATCCTGGAATGGTAACTGTCATGCTTGGCTGTGTTCCACTCTAAGGATCATTTCACACTAATCAAGGCTACTGGGCTTTTACAGTCTAGCCTAAAAAAATGTGATTTTGAAATTCCTGCATGTGCTTCTCTGTCACATTGCAGTAGATTTTTACGAATACTTTCTCAGAAACTCGCTGGAGACGTCAAGGACATTTTGAAGTGACTTTAAAATGGGAAACAGCATCTCAAGACCAAAGATTTGCCAAGTTGCACCATCTCAGAGTCTTCTAGAGGAGGAAGAACCATCCTGTCAACCAGCCTCGCCATGGATGATCACTGCTGCACAAAGTCCACCAGAGTACCAATATGGTATTGTGGGCCACCAGCACACCAGCCATCTGCCACCACTAAAGCAGCATGTGCCTCAAATTGTTCATTCACTACCAGGTCAGTGCATTTTTAATCCACACAGGATATGAATGTGTTATATTTGTTCTGTCACTGACTTTTCCAGCCTTTATGTTGTCTATCTTGTCACTTCAAAAGTAAGCGCTCCTTTTTTGTAGTCTGAACTAGTGGCCCACTTTTCTAGCTTGTTATTTTTAAGCTATTAGGCTGTATAAATGCCTTTCAAGTGCCTACAAAAGGACTGTATATGTTTTCTTTGTTGTAATTTCATTGCTTCATAAATGTTCAGTGCAACTGTCTGCCATTTGCTCATCTTTTAGTTTGAACTTTGTGTGGATGAATGTGATTTGGGAACTGAATTCACAGGCTTGCAGAACCTGTATGCAAAAACAGGCCACAGCATCATAAAGTCTCATCCACCACAACAAGCAAAGGTCTGAAGTCTTACCATATGCTTCAGTATGGATGTACAAGAACAGAGTATTCAACTTAGAGATTTTGATGTTGGTACTGACCATGAATATTTTCCTGTACTCACAGGCATGGCAACCAACAGCACCTCTTATGGAGCCTTCCATGGCTTCTGATGAACATGCTTTCATGGTACACACACATATGCCCAACTGACTTTTGCGGTATTTCCTCCTGCTTAGAGTAGTGAAGGCTGATGAAGTGTGTCAGCAAACAAAAGGGTCACAATTTGGAAAAAAAGGTGTGATTGTAATATGTTCAAGAATTATTTAATAAAAAAAATTCTTTTTAGGCCAAAGGATGGAGAGATGGGGTTGCCCACCAGTATTCCAACCCCAGTTGGGGAGGGCGCCATGGCGCAGGCTCCAACCATCAGGTATAGAGCTACTGTTACAATATATACGAATGCATCTCCGGTATATGACAACTTTGGCTGTGTTCACAATAGCATACAGTGTACTGCAGTGGGAAGCTGTGAGTATTGGTGCTAAGCCTTCAGTTCAGGCAATAACTGTCAAAACTCAAAAACGTGGGTGGGAAAAAACCCTGTGCTACTTTCTGATAGCACCCCTATGGGATTTTAACAGAATTTTAGAGCTAATCCAACTATGTTTTATTTAAATCTTGTAACAGAGACCGACTGTGAATACTAATTTTCACAGTCAGCAACATTTCTAGGATTTCCAGAATGCCTAGAGTGACATTTATCTCACAAAATTCCAACTCATTGTAGATTAAAACATGATCAGTGGATTCCCCTGATACTTTCTAATTGTGTTGGCAGTTAATCTGACACTTTGGACCTTCAGTTTAGCTCTGGAAATCCTAACCAATGGGAGAGCTAACTTGGCTGTATCTACCTAGATACCACAGAGAAGAAAATCCTGACTGGATAATTTTCCATTGGGTGTTCTAAGAATATAACTTTTGTTTCCAACCAGAACTTAATAATTAGAGTCTTACTACAATACTTGCAGAGTTTAAATACAACAAACACAATGATTATATTGAATAAACAGAACTAAAAATTATAGACGTTTTCTTATATTTCACAGACATTAGGCTGTCTCTGATAGGTCTTCTCCCTGACCCTGAGGGTTCCCCACTGGTGCACTGTATATTAGAAACTGCACGTTATTTATCTTGAAATGAATGTGTTGCATTATTAGTGGCAGTATATCATAAAGATAGTTCTATCTGCATGCTGGAAGCTTGGCCAAAGTGGGACATCATCCAGGGATATTTGGCATGCTAAAGAAATTTATGCTACTACTTCCTAAACTGCTTACTTCCTTTGGGCACAATCAGTACATAAACAGTATGTAGTACACTATTTTGAACAGAGCCTGTGTCTCTCTTTATAGAAGGAAAAACATCCTTAACATTTTTTAAATAGGGATATATACTACAATTTTTAATTGTTCCCTGATGTTTCTGTGGGTTTATATATTAAAAACAGTTACACATGACCACTGTGCTTTGAAGACTAATATATTTAAATGAACTCTGTCCTGATTGGCTGCCCTGTATCATGCCTTACTAAAAAAGCAGCACAGGTGGACACGCTCCATTTTACTTCAAAGTGAACAGGGGGTGTTAACTGCAGGTTGAATAGGCGGATATCTGTAAATTAGTGAATTCAAAATAGGCTGTTTTTTTTTAGTTTAGTTTATATGTATGGACCATATGGAATTTGGAGTTTTAAAATAATAGACATTTTTCCATGATATGGGCCCTTTGATGATTTAAGATACTTAAGTTCAAATAATTTTGGACTATTCTAATGGTCCATTTAGGTTGAAACATTTAGAAAATAAAAATGGCAGCTGGTGTATTTTTTTTTTTGGTAAATGAGATGTTCGAGTGTGGAGAATTTTCTGAAAATGTAAAGATTCTATGTCAATGAAAGTCTTTTTTCTCCTAGAACTGCATGTCAAGCCAAGAACTATTTAGGAACCTTTATTTTAACGAGCACATGTTTGGAGGGTACTATGGATCATTCTTTGCTATTATAGATCATCACACCACCATTTATTCACCCAAACTCTTACAAAACCTGCTTGTTCCTTCTGATGTTTCATAGTAAGTTTTTTCACAACTGGTTAGACTGCTTATTTTATGATTTGATTTGAAGTGATGCTGATTTGTCAGTAGTTATAGTAAGTCAAATACATCTCAGAAAATGAATTATTAATAAGTGGTGTTTAGTAGCTCATAAGATGAGGATAAAGCGGGAGGCAGAAGCAGACAGCTGGTGAGCGCTGAGCCTTGCCCTGGTGGTCCCACTGGGTCTGATTACGGTGCTGCTGGAATGGAAAGTGGGCTGGGCTGCAGCCACAGTGCTTCCTCCATGGGATCCACTTTCAGGGTACAGGGAGCAGGAAGAGAGCTCCTCCCTCCCCTCAGGAATCTCCAACACAATCAAGAGTTAATGATATTTCTTCTGACACGGCATCAGGAAACCTAAACATTTAAACTAAACAGCATCTGAAATGATGCTCAAGAACCTTTTTGAAAATGGTTCTATATAGCACCAAAAAGGGTTCTTTTATTGCTATGTTGTCAAGCTTGTAACAATAGAAAACCCCTTTTTGGTGCTATATAGAGTTCCTCCTGCTTGTAAAAAAGATACCATAAACCATATACAACACATCCTCCATTTCCTGATGCAAAGAACCCTTTAAGCATGCAAATGGTTCTTTGAGAGTTCCTAGTTCTATACCTACCACAGTCTTTACTAAGGAACCCTTGAAGAACCATTTTTAAGGAGTGTACTGAACTGATGTCACTTAAAATGTGTCACCAAACGACTTGCATTTTTCAAATGGCTGAGTCAGAGATGTACACTGTATGGCTTTCACAGAGAAACATGGGAGGATTTCTTCCAGCGCAGACAGTCCTTACTCACCAAGTAAACAAGAAGCGTCAAGCCCAGCAGAGGAACTTTAGAGAGAGGCGAGCAAAACAACGAATATTTTACACCTCCACTGGTGAGTATAAAGTATCATAACATTCAGCTTAAACAGGTGTGCCCAACCACCCTGTGGTCTCCCACCCTGGACAGTTCTGTTCCGACATTTCTGATTCTTATGTTAAGATGCTCCTGAAAGCCTTGATTAACTCTTTTAGGTGTGTTGGATTTGGGTTGGAACTCTGCAGGACAGCAGATCTCCAAGAACAAAGTTTGGGACCCCCTGCTTAAATACATGATATGTTTTGGTAGAGTTACATGGTTTTATAGTGTTGAGCCATACTGGTACCGGTAACATACTATAATCTATTATAATAATAATTTAAAAACAATAATTTATTGCCTGTCTAAGCAGAGGTGCTATTGCCAGGAGATCAGGGTGGTGATCCCCGGCAATGCCACAGCCATCTGTGGCCTGGAGTCCAAGACAGCATAATCAGCGTGTCTAGATAAGTAGGACAAATTTGTCAACCTAATCATAAAAGAAATATGGACTTGAGTGATGGAAACCTTGCAGATTTTGATAAAAACTGTGAACCAACCCCCAACCCAACCCAATGCCCAGATCCTCCTGGAACCATACCCAGTGCCCAGCCCCCCCAAACCCTACCCAGTGCCCAGCCCCCCCAAACCCTACCCAGTGCCCAGCACCCCCTGAACCCTACCCAGTGCCCATCCCCCCAGAACCCTACCCAGTGCCCAGCGAACCGTACCCAGTCCCTAACCCTCCCAAATCCTACCCCTACCCTAAACTCCTGCAAGTTCCACAATGCACTGATTTTTACCACATGCCAACACTTTACAATATCCACATTGTTCCCGAGATTTGACTTCACAATACAATGCATGATTCAAAAATAATACATTCAGGGCTATTTTCTAGTGTGTATGTACCCTGTTCAGATGCTGGTTCCGTTATGGTAGGCTTTTTAAATGCCAGCATGTGAAATCAGTACTGTGATGTTTAATGTGAGGTGCCTATATTGGCCAGTAACCCTGGGTGGTGTAAACCAAATGCATAGATGAGTCTGGTTTGGGCTGTTACTGTGATGAGGCTACATAGCACACCAGAATTACTGAAACAAACTTACCATGATAATGATAAATATAGTCAACTTGCCCACCCTTAACTTCAGTCCCTTCAATTTAGAAAAAATACATAGATAGTTATCCTGTATCTGACTGAAGTGCCCTTGAGCAAGGAACCTAACCCCCAACTGCTCCCCAGGCGCCGTGGATAGGGCTGCCCACCGCTCTGGGCAAGTGTGCTCACTGCCCCCTAGTGTGTGTGTGTTTACTAGTGTGTATGTGGTGTTTCACTGCACGGATGGGTTAAATGCGGAGGTCTAATTCCGATGTGTTCAGACACAGTTGGCTAAACGGTTCATTTCATTCTTTCATTTCATTCGTATGAATTATCCAATCAAATCCCATACAAATGACATTAGGGGATTCACCTAGTAAAACTAATCCAGACTGAACAGTGCTTTAAATACATTTCATTATGTAACTAAAATAAGAATCTAAACGTTGATTAGCTGAAAGCTTCTCATTTAACACTGCTGATCTCAACAGTTAAAGGAATCGACGAGGAACCACAAAGAATCCGACTGGTATCCAGGCCAACCCAAAGGGACATCTTCTGGGATGAGGTAAAGGGACAGAGTCTGGATCCTAAAGAGCTCCAGCAGCCCAGTCCGCCGGTGACAGTTCCAGGCTTAGGAGAAGAAGCGGCTAGAAGATCTGAACCAGACACACTTCCACACATCAAAGACAGAAGGTGTGGAAGTGTGGTGCAGGGTAACTCGTGGACTTTCTCCTGGAACATGTCTGGAAGTCTAACAAACTTTGACAGAGGTCAGATCAGTCCTGTGCAAACAGCAGGCTACATGACACAGCAGAAAAACATACCCCGGCAAAAGCAAACGCATGGAGTGTACTGGAGGATAGATGGGGACATAAATAGCAGCTTGGGACAGCCAGTGAAAGATGCAGAGAGTGCATGAGGGAGATGGTTAAGATTGCTGAACAGGTGAATTCTGTTCACCAGGTATGGAACAGAAGGGGACAAACAGATATTTATATGGATTTAGGGAAGGGTGATACAAATATATGTAACATACTATCATCCTTGAGGAATTTTCCTTATCCTGTTATTTAGGATCAACTTGCTAGTATGCTGAGATACAGTATTTACAGGGCCAAAAGGTTTGGGAACTATATTGTTAATGCAGCTGGCTGTACAATAAAATAAATCTAAATAAAGAAAGTAATTATCAGAAAAAGTGCTGAACAACTTAGATCATTTGTCTGTTAAAGCAGAAATTTGGTAAAACTTGTAATCTAGAAAATTCTACTTCCAGTCTACATGGATAAAGTGTTGCAAAATAGGGCTAGTTCCAGTCAAATATTAGAAACCTTAAATGCAACTACATACCATCTGAAGAGCAGACATAGCAATGACCAATTGTTAAACTTCAGTATTTGCCCCAATGTGTACAATTTGGGAGGGAATCATTCTGGTGATATGATTTAGGGCACAGCTGGGCACAAACTAACACAGGGCAGAATGTAACATATATTTTGTACTTGAACATGCTTTTAGTCATGTTCTCGTATTCCACATCGTCCACACATTTTGACAACAATCAGAGAAGATATTTCCCAAGATTTGCCTTGAAGTTTTTCATCATAAGTGTTTTATGAATATGGAGTTGTGTTCAAGTCACAGAATTCACAGTTATGTCATGTGAATCATCCTCTTGATGGTTGTTATATAGCACTGTTTTAAAACACGTGTAAATTAGGTTAGTTAATTAGGGGTTAGTTGTAATGCGGTGTTACAATTAAGCCTCCCCAAATAAACAATGGGAGAATTCTGTATCCTATGAGCAAATTTAAAACGGTTCATTTCTGAAAGGTTTGTTTATGCACAAATGAATTAAAACTGTACCATAGATGTAATGTAAATAAAATATATTTAAATTTTATCATGTTATTATTTGTTTCTCTACTTATAAGTAAACAAATTCAACAAATTCTAACATTCAACAGCCCCTTTTCACTTATTACATTCATTCTGATTAATTTATTTTTATATATTTAATTCGGGAAGCTAATCTGGTTCAGAACTGTGAGGTTAGTTGTGATGTTTGAACTCAGTCTACAGTCATTTGCGGCAGAAATGTGTAGGTGGCTTGCATACAAATTATATATGTTAATCTTGCTCAAATACATTTAATATTATTTAGCACAAGCCAACAGGCTGTGCCTTGTTCTTCCCTACTGCTGTATCACTGACTTATTAACAGCAATCAGTCTCTGTAATCGTCCAGCTTATTTATTTTTCCTACAGTCTTGAACACTGAACTCTGACTAATGGCTACAAATAGATTACTTATGTCATTAACTGTTTTTATCAAGTAAAAATCTTTGTAAAAATTTATGCTAGGAAAAAAAGGTTTGTCATGTGAGAAGGTGACCTACACTTCAAAAGATCTCAATTGTAAATCTGTAGGATGAATTAAAAAAAATACTGAACATTGAGATCTGTGGGTTACTAGAAGCACCAGCCAATGTTAAAGCACTTTAAAGACCTGAACTTCCTCCTACAACAGGTTTTAAACCAAAAACAGCTTACATGCTCAGTAGGTGAAGTGCAGATGCAGTATGGTGGCCTTCCTGTTTCCAGCCATACAGAAAACAATGTGCTTGTTCCTAGTGAATGGTTCCCAGCTGACATAATTATCATGATAAAATACACATTGAGGCTGTTGGGAATACAGCTGTCTTCTCTTTACCCAAGAGAAATATGAATTCTAACGGTGATTTAAATGAGTTTAATCACAAACGCAAATTAGCGAGCACGAATAATCAAGTATCCGTTTCTGCAGCGTACGTGATTATGCAATTCTGGCTGAATTAGACAAGTGGTGAATATTTTGCAGGGCCACTACATGCAAGATAAGCACAAATTTTGGCCTATACAGTGTCAGTCAGACCGTTCATCGTTAGGTTATAAAAATAATACAGTACATGTATTATTTTACTGCTCATTTATCACTTGAGGCAGTACAGACACCACCACACAAATGTATTTAAAAACCACTACACATCTGCAATAAAAATCAAATAATTTATTTATACTTTTTAAACAAAGTCTGTTGTCCACTTGAAATCAAAAAAAAAAACTTGCAAGACACTTTGTAAGAGGTGAGAGAGTGGAAGAGGAGTGGGATGACATAAACCAACATGCAGACCTCTCTGCCCAACTAAATGCCACTCTGACTGAGGTGCAGTTCTCCTTTGTCCAAAGCCATGGCAGACATGTGGAAAGCATCACACATACAACATAAATTCAAATGTTTATGGTGGCAAAAATTATCTGCAACTGCAGATCCATTGATCCTTCCTTGAACAAAATGCAGCTCATGACTTTCACCAGTTAGAACATGGTCGCATTCAGCTAGAACCTGCCAGCTGTTGCCTAAGAAACTGTTGGTTCGTTCTAATGGCCATTTATGCAGATAGCTTACAGTAGTAAACTATGAAAGTCTCAAAACAGCAGTGCAACTTAAGAATCCAATTTTGGAACTGTGCATACTACAGTCTCATACAGTGCTCACTCATCCTGTAAGAGAACACAGACTATAGCAAGATAAACCACCACTCAGCTGCCAAATACGAATGACAGTTTATTTAGGTTGGTACCTATTATGGATTAGGCCACAAGAGTTTGAGTTCTTTCATTCTGGTTGATCTTACAATCTTAAAAAACAAGGTTCTTGACTCTGAACTGTCAGTTGGTATAGACAGAACCTTTACAATGTGTGGTGGTTCTTTTAAACTTAAAAAAAAGTTATTCACACTCACAGGTCTCACTTACAAAATTGGCTCCTTTAGAGCTATCCACTGAAAGGTTCTACAGGAAACCAAGAGTGGTTCTTCTATGGCATGGCTCCAAAAAATCTTTTCTGGCACCTTTACTTTTAAGAGTGTAGGCATATTCCACAAACAGTGCTGAATGATGAGAGGGAGATGTTTGGACAATAACAACTCAGATTTCCATCTCTCAACGGCTATTCAAATTCTGAAGGAGCCCAACCCCTCACGAAAAACAAATTGCCTCTGAAGTAATAACCATGGGGTCCTTAAAAGGAGCTCTTGACCAGGGAGGAGAGACCTGGAGGAGAACTGGACAAACACCAAACACCTGAGCCCATTTGTTTTGAGGGTATACAGCATATGGCATGCGTCCAATACGCCTCTCCATGATTCAAGGTTTAATCTGTCACATTTCTTAAGAAATTCTGGGTCCACACACGCACACAAAAACAATTATACTTCAACACAAATTTTATGTTCCAACATGCTCATCTGACTAATACTGAGTCCAGCACCTCTGAACGAAGAAAAAAAAAAATCACTTCTTCCCACCAAAGATTTGCATGAACTAAATGCTTTTGATTATTCAAGAAGAACCCACAAACCAACAGCAAAGCACATTGGGGGTCTATCTGCCATGAACACAAGAGAAAGCAAATCGGTTTCTATCAGTGGGTCTTGAGAGAGAGATACACACACACACACACAAATGGACTTTTATCTTGCAGAAAGGGGTCTAATCTTATCAAGATGTTACACCAAGAACTTACTCCAATTCTAACACAATGTGAATGGGAACACATTATATGCCTATAACACCCACTCTGTGAAACAACTCCTTAACCATTCAAATTGTTGCATATCCTAGCCAGCACTGAAAGTGGTGGCTAATAGAGAGTGGTATGCTGGTTGTATTTATATGCTGCCCCCTGCTGCTGAATTAAAGAGATGGCACATCAGAGGAACCTTCTCTAAACCGGTAATTCTTAACCTTGTCCTCATGACACCCTGATGGTCCACATTTTTCCTTTATTCCTACGTGTTGGTAGTTTGAATTGAGCAAAAATGTGGACCACCTGGGATACCCTGAACACCAATTTGAGAACCACTGCTCCAAACAGTTCACAAAACGAGAAAGCTTACTTTTGGTTTATAACATACAGCCTACTTGAATGAAAGGCATTTACTATTACTTAACTAATGACTGATTAGTCGCATTGTTGGCAGTCAGTAAGTACAACATTGAAGAAAGCTCAATCAAATTCACACCTTTGATTATTGCCTGCCATTTTTAAATCGAGTCATCAAACGCTTTTAACATCTGTTTTAGGTATGGTACGGTGAAAAAAGTGCATCAGGAGTATTTTCAGAGAGGGCTGATAATTTGTTAATTTGATTTACACAATGTCAGAACACCCTTCCTCTTCATGATATTTAATAAATATTTAAATTTTTATGAAAATGATGAAGGTAGCAAATGTGACAAATGCAATCAATCATCCAATAAACAAGCACAAAATTAACTTATTCATAAATGAACATAGCATATTCAAGACATTTTGAATAGTAAACTGTCTAATCGGGCTAATCTAGCAGAGCATAGACGAAGACAGCGATTTCTGGTAATAACCAACTTTAGCTTTCACTCTAGGTTAATTAAAATGCCAGTTTCTGTGTCTGTGGACATTATTCTCTGTCTGAGTATGTTGTGGTGTCCTCTTTTGCAACAAGTGGATATCTCTCTTGAGCAGCTGCATTACTAAAATGAAGGAAGGTCTGCTCAAAAATATGAAACCAAATAAAAACATAAAATAGACCCCCATACACACAAACACAAGCCAATGCTATAGGCTCTAACACAATCAGAACCTTCAACATCCCCATGAACCCTCTTAAGAAGAAAACAAAAAACAAAAAAAAATAAGATCTGTTAGTGTAGTTCCTGTTTTTTTCCTTTTTCTTTTCATGTTTCCATTAAGTTGTTTTGAACATAGAAGTTTATTTTCCATCCCTCAGTCATAATAATTCATAAAAAATAAAAGAATAGAGGGGTGATGTCTTGTTTGATTTTTATTAGCCCGATCCAGTTCGGCACAACTCCTAGAGGTGATGCTAATGTCCTGCCCAGTCATTCTTCAATGGCCGACGCAATCACACAGCGACCAGCAATCAGGCCTTTAGATGTCACAGTGCAAAGCCACCAGTTTTTCCTCTTCGGAGTCAGTGACTGCTTTCAAATACTAGCACCCCCCCCACCCTTTTTGCAATAACTTCTTTCACTCGCAGAAAGGTACTTAAAACTCTTTATTACATTTTGCTCGTTTTTCATGCGAGGCTGCCTCCTCGTTGTGGCTTGCTGGAGGCTGACTCGCCATACTCACTGAAAGAACGCAGCTCTTCCGGGCTGGGGCAGAGGGACAGGAGAACAGAGGACCAAAGGGATAGTTGAGGAGGTCACAGTCAGACTTAGCGTAGCCAGAGTTTGAGCCGCAGAGCATCCACTCCATTTAAATAGTATCTGAAGAGCCGCTTGTCCCTGACAAAGCCCAGGTTCTCATAAAGTTTCAGGGCGGATTTGTTGGTGATTTCTGTCTCCAGCACCACCTGTGCAAGAAAACACAGGGACAGCATGCAGACCATGCTTGATTAATGAAAGAATAAGAGAACAGTCAGAATAAACAATGGGCAAGGGAACAGAAAAGAAGCATTGACAGTATGCAGAAACTCTTAAATCCATACTACAGCTTTAAAGCATTTTGCCATACTCTTAAAAATAAATGTGCCAGAAAGAGCGTTTTGCGTGATGCCTCAGAAGAGCTGTTTTTGGCAGTTGCATTTCTACACATAAGCCTGAGAAGTACTTTCATTGCAGGTTTTTTTTTTAAACCATCACTGTATTTCAGGTACTGTACTTAACGAGTCAACTGTTGCCCACAGTACCAACTAATGGGTCAGTCAACTAGTCAGCTAGTCAATACAATCCCTATTTAATTGGTTTAGAACCTTTACATTATGTGGAGGTTCTTCAAGCCTTTGTTGGTTATTCACACTCACAACTCGCTTTTACAAAACATGTTTTTTTTAGAAACCACAAGTGGTTCCTCTATGGCATCACTTAAAGAAACTTCTGTGGCTCCTTTTTTAAGAATGTAGATGAAAATCTTGGACTCAATATGAATAATATGTACACATCTATGTTAACTCAGACTATGTTTAATCTCTTACCTCATCACAGTCCCCATCCACCATGGCATAGATTGCCTTTTTAACAAGGTTAGTACCTGAAACAACACAGGAAGATTTTTAGCCTAAATATAAAATCCCATAAACATGATATCACTAGACAGAGTCAGAAGGGACTAAGGCTATGTTCACACTGCAGGCAAACTGGATTTGTTTCTCAAATCCAGATCTTTTGAGATGACTATTCGCACTTTATTCGCAAGTGATCAGATAAGATTTGTGTGTCCAGACATGACCAACTTATCTGTATGGGTAGCTGTGGTAATAACGTAGGTATCAGCAACCACGTAGTTACGCTAGCGACGCAGAGTTCAAACATGGATGCAAGAGAATTGAAGGCGCATCATCTCGCCCTGCAAACTCTTTAAAATTCTCTGGCATAACCATTTGAATCTTTGGTGTTGTTCTTGAATCCCAGCACTTCTGTCACTCTGGATGTGACATTGCCATTGTTTGTCACACGCAAGTGCAAAAGACAGTCTGAAAAACGATCTAAGCAGCCAGAGCATCCAGACTGAGATGCATCTGTAAAAATCTGGTTTGGACTGTCAGTCTGCACATAGCCAAAATGACAATGAATGGAATAAAACAGGATAATTAAAGCCCATTAGATTAAGTTACTGCAATCAATGAACCTTGTATTGGTACTTATCTGCATGCGAATGGTCAATGTTATCATTCACCACATTTAACACAATGCATTGGCTCATTATGATTAAATCAATAACTCAGAAATTTATGTAACATAACAGGAATGCATGCATGCATGCTTTGTGTGTATGTATGCTTGTTTGAGTTCTACTACCAAAATCAGGTTAGGCTGGTAAAGTCATCTGAATGTCTAGAGGTGTCAAAGATTTTTTTTTAACGTTACTCAGTGTGAAAGGGGTATTATCTTGACGATGCGAGAAAGACACATACCAATGCCTTTCCTGCGAAATTTGGAGTCCACAGCAAGCATGGCAATGTAGCCCCGCCTGAACATCTTCTTGTGCATGTCCAGCTTGCACACAATGGCACCGACACAGTTTTTCTCCACCATAGCCTGGGACACATTACAGCATTAGAAAAGAGCCACACACACACACACAATTTCTTCCATGAAATGTGGAAATATCCAACATATAATATATCTGAATTAATATGAGTAAATTAAAACATTTAATTTTAATTTCTGAAAATATAGAATCAAAATTCATAAATGTATTACTTTTAAAGAATAACTCAAACAGGATGTAATATTCCTAAATTGCAGATTATACATTTGGTAAACTATTATTATTAGGCTAAATTTGGAGGAGTAGGAAAGCCAAAACTAAAAATACATCTAAAAAATATGCCTCACATTTTATGTTAAATACCTTACAGATTATTGTTTCAACATATAAAATAAAAAATAAAATAAAATACAATTCAAAAGACCTTAGAGTCATAGAGTAATGAAAGAATGCTATAACAGTATTTGTGAAAATGTTGACAGGATGCCAAAATTATATACACTAATGACAGCTTACGTTTTTCAGCAATAATTTCATAATTGTGAAAGTCATATAGACCAAACTTGTTCAAAAGTTTAAAGTGTTCAGAAGCAACAATAAAAAAAATCAATGAATCTAACATTTAACTAAACAGCACATTATGTTGTTAATCCAACACTGAAACGTAATCACTCTCCAATAACATAACACTACATCTGTAAAGTAAGATTGTTATTTGTTCTTAACGAAAGATCTTAAGGTGTGCATTTTTGAGTTAGGCTTATTGAAATGTAAGTATTAAGCTGATGCCAGGTCTTTCCAGAGAGGGCACTGTTACATATCTCTAATTGACAATTACTTTATAATCAGCGCAAATGTAAAATTATTTGGCTGCTAGCTGGTCAGTTCAAACTAACACTGACACCAGGTGTCAAAGTGTCTGCCTCCATTTCATTGTGCACTGTGAGCCCATGACCAATGAAATGAGGACGCAAGCTAATCTCCAATGATATATCATCACGGCTAATTCTGATCTAGAACCAACATAACTGTTTATCACTGTTAGTGAAGCGTTGCCAATGCCATTTTTGTCCTTCTGTCTTAACGGCTCGAAAATATTAGCTATGTGGAAAGGGCTACACGGTTGCTGCTACATGGTGTCAACTGACAAGAGGTAAAAAGAGATCCCCTTGAAAAGTATAAGGAATTTTAACACAAACAAAGATCGCCATCAGATCGTCACTTCATGTACAGTATGTAAGTACAGTATACAGCATGTAGTATTTTCCCGCTTGTGTAGTTAAGCAGGCTAACTGCTATTGCTACATAGCAACATACACGCTCTAGCTAATCGTGCTAGATACATACCAGAAAGCAGAGCTGTGGCCAGTTGTGGATGAAGTACCTATAGGTGTATATCGAATAAGGTTCAGACAAGTCTTTAGTTATGAGCCTTATAATATCTGGCATTTGCAACTCTGACTCGTATCTCACGTAACTGATGGCGCTATCGCCCGTTTGCTCCTCCGTCAGTGACAGGTTTGCCATCTGAGCCACCGGGGCCTCTTCCTCAACAGCCCGGCCTTTACTGCCATCATCGGCCGCTAATTCCTGTCCCTCACCTCCGGCCTCAGCGAGGGACAAGTTACCGACTGTCCTGCTGTTTACAGTCCCCGAACACGTACTGTTGTCACACTCCGGTTCATCCGAACTGTTTTCGCTGATAGCCGCGGTGCTGACTTCGTTGTTCGGGACTGTGCGGTTCTCGCATTCGTTGTTCGTTAAGACGCTCGCCGAGCGCTCGCCATCCAAACGCTCCGAGACTGCCGCCCTGTGCGCCGGGTGTGGGACGTGGTTGGAGACGGAGACGCGGCTGCAGTGCTCGCCGTCCTCCTCCTCCTCTTCCTCCGTGTGTTCGCCTACGCCGTTCAGCTGTGTCAGCGAGGAGTTCGGGTGGACGTTGTTCTGCTTCGTCTTAATTATTCCTCTGGGCTCCGTCGCTTGCTGCGGTTCCGTTCCCAGAGCTATAACATCCCCTCGGCCGCGGTCCAGTTTTTCATTGTTCCCCAGGAATGAACAGCCGTCCACGGGCAGCGGTATAATTTCGGCCGGGGATGCAGACAGCGCGTTAGGCCCAGGCGGCACTTCAGCCATTCCACTGCATACAGTAACTGTGAAAACAAAAGAATGGGGGCCCAAACCAAGCGCTCGAGGGAAAGGCCGAGTGAGACAAATACCCACCTGAGTTCTGGTGACGGTAAAATAATAAAATAAGCAAATATCTGTAAGTTGAGCTATCTCGTGTCCCCTCTAGCCATTACTCAACCTACTCCACACTAGCTGGCCTATCGTCTGCCGCAAGGCAGGCTTGACGATTTGCGACACTCAGAATTCTGGGAAATATAGTATTTTATGGCAATCCTAAATGACGTTTGAAATGAATCCAAAGCCAAATATTTCTTCAAAAATTAGAGAGCTGACGGCCCGGCTTGAAATGTAGTTTTTTCACCTGTTTCCCATGTTTACTGTACAAACCTCGCTGTTAGTATTAGGCTACAGCAAGCATGGTAACTTCATTCTTTCCCTTCTCACAGAGATTTCCAAAAACCACCACTAGATGGACCAATATGTTAAATAAATATCTTGGACTTGGACCACAGCAATGGGCCTTTTTATAATACTAAATGCAATTTTTCCTAACACTGTGTTATTTATATACACTCGTGTTCAAAGGTTTTCAATGTGTTTTCAATAAAATTATTGTAATATGTTAGTCGACTTCACATGTTTACTGTAGTAATTATTTGGACATTTAGAAACTGTAAATAAAAATGAAGAAATTTTAGGTGTGTCCATAATGATAAACGGAGCTGTACAAGAATTTAAAATGACTGCAAAGGCTGTGTAACGTCAAGAAATTAGTTAAAATAAATTAATAATTGGAATTCATCGCATTTCAAAAGTGGAGATCAAATCTCAGTAGGTGCCGCATGCCAGTGTTATTATTGACAGTATTAAATGAAAATGTAAAAAATATTTTAAAAGTATTTTTTTAAAATGCCATCTTTGCACATCTCTGAGAAGCTCTCATAGTGCTTTAAAGCATGTGATGGAGCTGATAAGAGTTTGTAGAAGAAATATACATAAATTATTATTAATGTACAGCATTGCAATTATACAGTTCGTTATGTCACAACCTAAATTATGTTGTATTTAAAATCAAAGTGCTCAGGGATCAGGAGAAAATGAAAAATTTTATTGAAAATTCCTTATATGGCCATGCTGGACTCCAGGAGAGAATCCAGCTGTGGTCCAGAGTGGTCTGACAGATTTCTTCAGACAAACACATACTTCAACACAGACAGCTCTAAAGTAAGTCCCAGAGTAAGTGCCGCATGCTTCTGCACAGTAAAGAGGTGAAGAGTACCTTGTGAGTGATTGGATCTTGCCAATAGATTGGGTATGGTCAATGGGTTTCCACGGAGGAAATCCTTGTGAGAACACAGTCTTGCTATGTCAGAGCGACAGAGATGACCAATAGACACAGCAGACAATAAAGCTCACAAACAAAGGCTTACCTCAGTGGAGAGCTCTCGCCTGGCTCCAGTGCTCTTTCACACTGTTGTCTCATCTAAGGGACCTCCTAGTGCAATTTTGGGCCAAAATAGTAATACATACTGTGTCACAATTTAGCAGGAGATGATTTAATATACATATATATATACATTGAAATAGGCAGAAATTTTTAAACTTTCCCTTTTACGCTATGAATTTCTGTGGCCTATGACACTCCGTCTTTAATGTGAGATGACATCTAAAACAGACTAGATGTCAGTGTTATATCATGTTATATGGTTTATATTGCAGTCATTAAAAACCAGTTATTGATTTTCAAAATTTCTGCATAATTCGATCCCACAAAGATGTAAACAAAATCATTCAATGTGGTTCGCTATGAAATGGTTCACTGTAGAGAAATGTACTAACTGAGATAGGAAGCAGGGGCGGTGATGTCTACAATGCAAATATAGCCATTTTATTTACTATCCTAAAGCAGCAGTGAACCTACAGGTGTCTCCTGAGTTTATATGTTGATGATGGTAAAATAGTTGTGAATCTGAAAAAAAAAAGTTTTCTCTGGAGATTATGTGGCTTTACAACACCCTGCATGTAGCTCTCCACCATGGAGAGAGATTTAAAAAAAAATAAGTTTTAGGCTAAAATCATAAAACAATTTCTCAGTCATCCGTATTCATAACCATTTCATGTAATAACTTGCAGTGAGGGTGCTTCTAGAGGTGTTAAACTCTTCAGATGTCTGGTTCCTATCACCACCACTGTGAACAATTCTGACAGAGCATTTCACATCAAACTACTTTGACTTTGTTTACATCTTAATGATTTAATTATACAGAAATTCAGAAAAATCAGTGGAATTCCCCTTAAGGTTGCTTGCTGGATGACTATTATATTAGGGCTTTGAAAACTTTTGTTGTAGAGTATTAAGAAGCAGAGACAAGCTAAAGGGGGGCTTCTAAGGGCCACTGTGGAGTAATTAACTCTCCCTCTGGATACCAGTTTAGTCTTCCTCTTTCTCAGTCGCCCCTCTCCATGTCAGTCAGTCAGTCTATTACTAACCCCAGCAAACACAGACAGGGCCTAAAGCCCTCTTGTGAAAGAGCTCGAGGACTCCCCTTTACAGACTGACTGAAAGGCTAACTGGGACAACAACTAACGAGTGCTGTCTAAAGCAAAATGAAGGAGCAATTAATTGAAATCAAATGAACACATCACTAGCCAAAATCGGCAAAAACACTCCAGAACTGTATAAAGATTTTTTTTTATTTCATTCAGCACCAAAGATCCTCACATATAAAACTTTGACTCACTAATAGACTCTGCTCTGTCCATGGAGGGTAAGGTTTTCTTCTCTTTGCAAGAATAAACCAAAACAAAGAGCAACAAGGCACTGAAATATGGTGAATTGCAGGGTGGAAATGAAAGACACTGTTTACTCTATGGCCTATGTTGACTATGACAGGCTGTAGCATACCTCTTGTTTACAAGCTGTAGGCACAGCCTTTCGTTCACTTAGTGCCACTCTGTCAATTAATTAACTAATGTGTAAAAATCTAATTGTCTAATCTAAATCTAATCTAATTTGTCACCTGACTTAATCCAATTGCCTAAACCTGATTCCCTGCCAGCACCTGAAAAGAGCAGATAGTGATCAGCTCAGTTATTAAGGTCAATATTAAGGCAGTGAATCATGATGCTACAATATCATGAGTCCAGAGGACAAAGGAGCATCTCCAGTGGAGTTCCAGATGTAATATTCAGAAGACACCAGTTCTCGCGCTATGGGGAAAAATGGAGTTCATAAGTTAATTTTGTCCTTATGTACACCTCTCATATCTCCATTCATTGATGTATATTAGTTACATAATACAGAATGAATGACTGAAACACCCACTTGTGACAATGCGTGGTTTTGCTGAGGAATACACCTGCACAGAGTGTTGGTCCACACAGCATCCAGATAAGGTCAAATCTGGTACTCGGAAGAAGAGCTGAAAACAAGACAACAAATATCACTGAGATAATAGTAAATAATTATTAATCACTAATACGTCACATCAACTGTGTATTATGTAATCAGAAATTTAGAAAGATCAGCTTGTTCAACCTCAAACTATATAAAATACGAGTACACATATTTATCCAAAATTTACACAGAATTCACACTCACCTTTATGTATGCAGTGAGATCTGTGCACAGAGGGTCTGTTGGTCCAAAAAGATGCCCAGAGAAATTCACGCTACCTTCCAGAGTTACCTCTCGCGACTTTGGAAACTTCTGACCTGACAAGTTTAAAAAAACAAAAAAAAAAAACTCAAATTAAATTATGTTGTGACTATTAATTGTAATCCATAGTTAAAACACCGACAATACTAACGTTGAGCATAGACTTACCAAGAACCCAAACCAGCAGATTCTTCTCTTTAGACACCTCTAACTGTCCTGAACTCACCTTTACATCCACACTGCCTATTTGGTGTCTGTACAGAAGAATAAGTGCATTAGGAATTGCCTCAAATACAGCCGTATAGATCTTACCTCAGTAGTGCTTTACAGGCCAACTAATGAGTAGAACACTACAGATCTGATAAACACTGTGCTCTTAATTAATTCATTTGGAATTGTGTACAGTACACTTGCATAGTCTATTAAGGGGTCCATCTTCCTACTTTTTTCTTGTATTTAATTTTCCTTGCTCTAACACACCTGATCTAGCTAGTCAATTCATTAACAATCCCTTCCTCAGCTGAAGTGACTTTTGCTTTGGACCTTTCTTAAGAACAGATTTAAGAAAAAACTTAGGAAGATATTGGTGAATGAGGCCCAATAGGAGTGAAAGGTGAGATAAAGAAGATTTCCATCCCAAAATTGCTGCATAATTCAGTAGTCAGTCATTCAGCAAGGTTTGATGTGATTTTTTATTGCAGATTTTTTTTACTGTGTAATGTAGAGAAACTTACTGACTTACTGTAACTTTATTACAGTGGCAGTGAAAGGAACCACAGGTCAAGTATAGCCATTTTATTTACTATCAGAAATGACCAATGAGGCTACACGTGTCTTCTGAATTTCAATATGTAATGTTGATAATGGTAAAAAAAGTGGTAAATCTGGAAAAAAAGGGTTTTGGGGGCAACTTTGCTTCACAACACTCAGCATGTACCACTCGGCGATGAATGTATTTGTAAAAATATGTTTTAGGCTTAAACATTCTCAAAACTATAGTACAACAACATCTCAAGCATCATACAACGCATTTGTAACCATTTCATATGACAGCTTATAGTAGCTTTTATAGCTGCTTCAAATGTATGGTTCCTACCATCACTACTGCGAACAATTCTAACTCTAAGCTTCTCTACAATGGAGTGTTTTGCATCAAACCACTCAGAATGACATTTACATCTTAACAAATTAACTATGCAAAAAATTTAGAAAAAATCCAAGGAATTTCTCTTTAAGAAGCTTGGGGAAGAGAGAAGAAACAGTGTTTATGAATCAGCTGGACTTCAACTTAAATAACGTTCATTCACCTCAAATTTCACTCATCTCTTCTTACCTCCTACAACACTAGAAGCTAAATAAGTCAGATTTGTGAAATGCATCACCTGTTGAAAAACGGTAGCTGTGCCTCACAGTATTCAAAACTGTTTCTGACACTTTCATGGAGCTTGAGGACGACATTCAACTTGAGCAGGTTCTCTTCTGCTTTCACCTGGTAGGAGCCAAGAATAGGCGGCACAGGTACCTGTGTCACAAAGAGAAGTTGATTAAAAATGAATTTCAAATAATGTGCGTACCCTGTTGATAGCAGTGCCTTGAGATTAGTAATAGAGTGAAAAATGTTTATATCAACAGGTCTCTAACATATTGTAATAAGTAGATGTGTAGGCCTACCTGTGAGGTGTAACTGCATAGTCTGAAAGACTCCAGAGGTGGAGAGAAGGGAAATTTGTATGGCCCTGAAAAGGCTGAGCCATCATTCTCATCCACGCTGCTGGCTGTGAGAATGCTGGAATCTAGAGATGTGACACAGGGATGGACGAGGATGTCCTGCAGAGGTGAACCATTGGGTGGCAAAGTAAGGGTGACTGTGACGTTGGGTAGAACTCCTTCCACCTCACACTAAAACCAAAATACATGAAAACAGATGGGAGATTTGGGTTAATCAACACAGAAAAATTATTATTTTGATGACACACACAAAAAGGAGATTACACTCACTTTGCACATCACCATCCCATACACATCCCACATATCTTGCTTGTTCCTGTTGCCATACTGCATGGACCTCACCATCTCTGTGAGGGCCACGTTCACCACCGCTCTGCCTCGATGGACTCCTGCTTTCCAGGCTGGCTGCTTCTGAGCACCTCCTGGGCCTGGAGCCACAGTGGCAGGCAACACTCCAGCCTGAGGGGGGACGTCCAAGGGCGTCCCTAGAGGACAAACCTGCAGAAGCACTGAGGGGAGAGCGGCCAAGCGGGAGGCCAACACATCAGGCTCTGGCAGTTTACCCCCTGTGCCACAAAGAAAACCCTGCAGGCCTGAGAGAAGAGCTAAGCCCTGAGAGACTGAAGCCAGGCTGGGGAGAGGAGGTCTAGGATCAGGCGGGGCTTCAACTAGAGGAAGACAGGCTAGGATTAGCCCACCCTGGTTGATGGTTAGCAGGGGCCACAGGGTTCTCCCACCTGGACCACCGACACGTAGCTCCACAGCAGGGCAGCGCTGCTGACGGGCACAGTCGTCCCGTACGACCACATAGGGCTTCTCAGGGTCTATCAGGCCCAGCTCGGTCAGCAGGAGCTGGGGTATAAGACGGTCCTCAGGAACAGCCACATACTGAGCTCCTGCCAGGGATTTAGCACGGAACTCCACTGTGGGGTACCGTCTGAATGAAAGACCACAGAGAAAAACTGCGATTGAATGACAATACCCCCTTAAATGTTAGTCAAATGGTGGCTATAAAATAACATTTCAGTGAGGTTATATTTTGTTTCACAGCACGCGAGCGCAGCACGAGCAGCTCCAAACAATATGACTCAATTGAAAAGAAAAAATAGCAACGCATTTTCTGTGCAAAAAAGCATAAAGGTGACAATTTGTTTGCTTACCTGGAAAATCGCACTTTTCCAGATTCACCCTTGTCGTAAGAAACAACCCACAGGGCCCGTATACTCATCGAGAATCCGCTACTTTTACTGTATCGATAAACAGAGGAAGCTGACTAGTATTAACATTCTGACATGGTAGCTGGCTAACTGTGAAACTCAGCAGTCACATCTCCTCGTCCAGAGAATATCTGCCCTTCAATGAGTTGAAAAACAACTATAGTGCACAGTGAACGGCTGCATGAGCTAACAAATCAATAAAACTACGAATTAAAGTGTTAAACCTTCACTCCTGTTGACGTTTCCTGTTTTGAAGCTGCATGTGACACGCAGGGGCGTGACTGATGGCTTGCCTCGCCATCAGCGCTGATGTCGGATCAGGTTCACGCCTTTACCTTCCGCTCCACATACAACACAACAGAGTAGGAGCTGATCTCAGACCTGCCGCTAAGGGCTCACTTTCGCTAGTAGGACTTTTTCCCTTCGTTTCCGGCCCGGTCATGGCAGCTGGATGCAGGAAGCAGAGGGCCTTGATTTAGAGTAAACAAGCCTAGCAGACCCTGTCGAAATTTAGCGACTGGGTCCTGATTTAAAACGAGTTTGTCGGACTTTATTTAGCTCTCTGTAATATCTCGCTGTCGCAGTAAACAATGGCCACGACCGCTCAGTTATTTGAGGTAAGTTGCGGTTGCTAGTCAAGCTAACAGCTTAGCTAGTCAGCTAGCTAGCTAGCTAGTTAGCTTGCTCAATAACTCAGCTAAATCGTTAAATATTTAGGCTAGAGTAGTTTGGATGGATAAATCGTAAATGTTAAACCCTGAAGTGCTGATAGTCAAATGTGCTCTTTTGTCTGCACCTGCTTATTGCACAAAAGCCATAGCGGTTAGCTTGCTAGCATTGACGGGAGTGAATGCTGCAGTTCTGGATTGTGAAGTGAAATAAGCACCGTGCAGAGCCCATTTCTAGCTTTTTTTTTGTAGCTCATTGGTTTGCAGCAAGTTCAAACGTGAAACAGTCCATCAGAGGACTGTGTGGCTAGTGTAATTGTATATGTATCTAGCTTACTATCTAGCTGCTTGTCTCATACTGTCTATGTTAGAGTTAGAATTGTTCGCAGTAGTGGTGGTAGGAACCATAACTACGTTTGAAGCAGCTCTAAAAACTACTATAAGCTATGATATGAAATGGTTACAAATACGTTGCCTGATGCTTGAGATGTTGTTTTACTGTATTATTATGTGTCAAGCATATGGTCTAGGCATATCATCTACCCTTCCTCGTTTTATACGTGGATTATGTAGCTATGTGTGTCCATATTTATACACTAGATGCATGGTGCACTGTCACATGTTCTTTAAGGTTCATTAACGTTATGCCTGTAGTTCTGCATTACATTTTTTGAGTAGGTAGGTTAGTCTGGATCTTGCATTTATGAATTGCTTATTTTCCCAGGAACCATTTGATGCAGATGAGTACATTGAGCGGCTGGCTTGGAGAACTCCAGGAGGGGGTTCTAAAGGAGGAGCTGAGGGGTTTGACCCCAAAAAGTAAGACTCAGAATATTGTTTATAGTTTCTTTCAGGAACATTATTTACATTCTGTAAAGGCTTTTGCGTATAAAACAATGGGTTTGGGGAACATGTCTTTAGATTTTGACCAGTCATGGCTACTGGCATACTACAAAATTGTTGGACCTTAGCTTAGTATGCTGAGTGAACTATAGATATTGACCCACAGTGTCGTACATTTCGTGTCTGTCAATTTAGTAAACCTGCTTTGATTTAGTCTTCTTTGCATTTGGTTTGGTTTGGTTTGATTATTATATGTGGGATTCTTACTTTATTACACCCTCTTTAATTGACATTCATTCACACAGTTTTTTTTTTTTTCTGCTATATTGGACTCTTACAGCGATGTAGAGCAGTGTGTTAAAGCTGTTGCACTGGCAATGCAAAAACATCAGGCCAAATTTAACACTAACATCTCAAGTAACCAACCGTGGAGAGGCTGGAATGAGCTGCTGAACCACTGACTCACAAATGATGGAAGAGAACGAATTTCAGCGAGAGAGGGAAAAAGGCCCTAAGCTGCACCCAGCGTTGGAGGAATTATTGTGATATGAGATTATACACTCATCACTTTGGAATGGTTTTTCTACCACCCAGAGAATCCAAATGTGCTGGCGTGGGGCTTTTTACAACTGCTGTCCTGCAAGTGCTTAGAAATGCAGCTGACAAAGCTCTTAGTAGTGTGTGAGGGTTCGTACGCACACTCGCATATCACAAAAAGGACATTTTTAAGAGGAGTTGCAGTTTATGGTAACAGGCAATTAGCTGTTTTGCCAGCGCAGTAAATATACTTTTAGACTTGCTGTGCCTTCTTGCTGTACTTCTGCACACTTTTCTGATGTTCTGATTGGAACTAGATATTTCTGAACTTTAGCAAGGGCAGTTATAGACGTGCATTTGAGATAATGGGGTGATGAAAGTTTACAGTATATCATGTATATCAGAAGTTTGAGACCTGGTCCAAAAGGATTATAAAACATTTCTCAGTTTTAACACATCTGAGCAACATAATCAGCAGTCTAGAGCACTTACTAGGGATGCAGGAAACTGACAAAATACCATTGCTTATATATTGCTACAAATTACGATTGCAGTATGACTTGCAATATTAAATATTAAAAGCACATTGTTGAACTCTTGATGTGACATGGCTAAAGGCTGGCCTGTGCTACCAATGTCTGAGATTTGTTTAGGATGCTTCTAATGCACAAAATTATTTGTTAGAGGGCTCATTCCCATATTACAACCTCCTGCAGTATTAGGATTGCAAAGGCCAATATTGCATTAATGTTTAACGAATAATAGAGTGGTTCTAAAAATGTTTTTGGACGCTTTAGCTAGTTAAAACACTGGTAACCTTTAATAAAGTTCTTTAGGTTACTTCATAAAATATTTTCCAGATTATTTGTTTCTGAGAAAAAATACATGTAGCATAGTTTTGTGTAAAGAAAGTCTGGAGAAGAATTCCAACTAGACTGACTGTAAAGCACAGAGGTAAGGAAAGGGGCTGTTTTTCTTACAGTGGTGTCAGTGAGCTTGTGTTCATTGATAAGTACATGAACTAGGTGTACAAAGACATTTTAGATGCAAAACTGCAGAAGTCTGTAAAGGAATTGCTCGATTGATATGAAACAAACCAGCTGCCTTTTGAAAAAATACAAAAAGAGAATGACAGTATTGGAGTGGTCTGTTTAAAATAAATGCTGCCAAGTTTTGACATGTTGTTTCCTAACACAATGAACTTAATGCTTTTGTATGTATGGAACAAATGTCCAAATATTTTTTTGGGCCACTGTTTATTATGCAGCCCTAGCACTTGATAACTTTGTTCATTTTATTGGGAGCTGAAAATATGAGAAAATTGGAAACCTCTGTATCTATGCCCCTTAACCTGATTGTTTTCCTTTTACAGTTGATCCAGTTGCTTTGCATTGAAAGTAAAGTGTTGTGTTTTTCTCCTTTTGTAGGACAAACATACTGATTGTGATCCCTGTTCTCTTAGGTTGCTGGAAGAGTTTGAGAACCACATAGAAGAACTGAAACAACTGGATGAGAGGATCCAGAGAAAAGTGGAGAAGCTTGAACAGCAATGCCACCGTGAGGCCAAGGAGTTTGCACACAAGGTTCTGGAGCTGCAGAGGAGCAACCAGGTTTGAAGCAATCATGAATTGATTGTTGCTTAATGAAGTGAGCCAGGTATGCCTGAGTTGCTGTGCTAGCCTTAACCTCTGCCTCTTTTCATAGGTGGCCTTCCTGCACTTCCAGGAGCTGGATGACCACATCAGCTATGTGGCCACGAAGGTCTGTCACCTTGGGGACCAGCTGGAGGGAGTAAACACTCCAAGACAGAGAGCTGTCGAGGCCCAGAGACTCATGACGTACTTCAACGAGTTCCTAGATGGAGAACTGCGCAGCGATGTCTTCAACAACCCTGATAAGGTCATAATTCTGACATTACAAATGAACATTGTACAGCTTCGGGTTCTAGAGAGTCACAGTGCTGCATGGCTTAGAGTTTACTTTGAACTTGCTTAGAGTTGGCTTAGAAAGGGTTTGATAATGTTCTATTGAGGTGAAATAAAAGTTAAAGCTATGAAAATACTAAGTAGTGTTGTAGTGGAAAATTGTACTTGAGGATTTGTAAAGTTCTGCATAGTTTTAGTCAGTGCTGCATACTAAAAATAAATGTTACGTAGCTATGACATCAATATTGTTCACCACCACTTTGATATTAGTGAACATTTTGTGGATTAAACCAGCTTTAACTGTATTGTCAAAAGGTATCAGTACATTTTAACATTGCACATGCCACAGGCTAATAGATTTGATCTGCGCAAAATGTTGATACATGCCAACTTAATTGGAAATGCCCTTCATAAGTTTATCTCTCAAGTCACTCTCAAGAGTTGTGGTGTGACCAACCACGGGTGGCAAGTATTACATCTGAGATGCTATTAGCATTAGACCACCAACACGCTTCCTGAGAAACGTGTGGGAATATACCCGGCAGACGTTTCAATATTTCTCAAACGCAGCCCACCTCCAGAAGAGAAAAGAGGGGACAGGGAGAAGAGCTGCCGGTGAATAGCTGAAGGGGGGGTTAAAAAAAAAAAAGGGAGAGGAAATGGAGAGAACGAAGGCTGGGCTAATCCCTGTGAAAGGGAGGGCCGGGCCCAGGCAGTGTGGAGACAAGCGCTGGTAAAAACCCCCACTGCAGGGAGATGGCTACATCACTTACATGGGATTTAGCTAATCTTAGCTGGGGGACAGATACTTAGAAAACCTCGGCGAGCAGAGCAGAAAAAGGCTGGATCCACCTCACGGGAGCACAGTAATGATGTTAGCTGAGGCAGGCAGGAATAGCAGACGGGGGAACAGAGGATATGTGGACGGCAGGGCCTTTTTCCGATCCTTTTTTTTCTTGTGTGTTAGGGGGTGAAGAGCGAGGTGGGGAGTTCTTGTCAGGGTTCCTGTTTTTGGCGAGACCTCCCGCCTGCCCATTGGGACAGATTATGGGAGGCGATTTAGGTAGGCTGCTACGGGATTAGCCGTAGCTCATTCATAATAGTTATATGAAAGTGAGAGTGAAGAGTTGGCTGGGTGGCACCAGGCAGAGTGGGGAGTTAGTAGAGCTGCTGCTGCTGATGGGGCGCAGGTGTACTGAAGCTGAGCTCGCTCTTATCAGCTCTGTACTGGACAAGAGGAAGGAGGGGTGAAGGGAGGGGGGACACAGAGAGATTTACTTTAAGCTGATCCTCAGGTTTAAGGCCATTGCCTGAGGCCATTTCTCATGTCCATTTTTTTCCCTTGCCAGCAAGGTGCCCATCTCTTCCTTTCTCGCTCTCACTATCTCTTATCGTCACTATCTGTTTCCTTTTCATCCTGTGCAGATAAAAGAAGCTGCTGACATCATTCAGAAGTTGCACTTGATTGCCCAGGAGCTGCCGTTTGACAGGTAAGCAATATGTGAGGCAGTTGAGGTTGAAAAAGGGCTATACAGGGGAAGGACAGATACATCAGAATGATCAGAATGATCCATTAGGTCAGACAAATGGCACTGGTCACATGAATCACTTCAAGTAAAGGGTCATGAATAGGTTAAGTCATAAATTCATACTTCTTTTTCATTTATAGAAAGTTGTTAGATTTTCCGTTTATTTGAAATGGCTTCTTGAAGGTTGTATAAATGTGTCTCCTTGTATTTCTCCCTTTCTTTTTTCTTTCTCCTTCATTCTCATCCAGATTTGCTGATGTCAAGGCCAAGATAGCAAGTAAGCAGTGGTTTTTTATACAGTAAATGAAAGAGCATTATTTGTGAAAAGGTAACATGACTAAATCCAGACGTGCTTTATAGTAATAGACTGGATTAGTATCACAAGAATTAAACTTACAGTATTAGTATGAGCCCATTAGACTGTACGCATGTGTTAAAACCCATTTACTATGGGATGTGTGTGGTGTCTCTAAGGTAAATACCATGACCTGGAACGGCAGCTGATCCAGGAGTTCACAGCAGCTCAGCGCAGGGGAGAGATTGGCCGCATGAGGGAAGTGGCTGCAGTCCTACTACATTTCAAGGTGAGGTAGAGGCCTTCTCAGTGTTAATGCTCCTTGTAACACCTCTGCATGCGTCATGTAGACTAAGGCCCTACCGATATATGTCAGTTGATCTAACATGCTGGTATTAAGGTTATATAAAATGATTGGTATTGGGGTAGATATCACCATTAAAACACTTGATACACATGGGCTTGCCACGCACCTTGCACTGACGGCTAAGCTGGCAGTACACCTGCTCACCTTTTGTACAGCAGTGCAGGCTGAATAGGTTATCTTGAATCATCAAGGTCAATATAACAGAAAATTATATTCCCATGGTTATATAGCTGCATCCAGACCTAGCCTTTAGCATGTTACAGCATAAAGAAATAAGAAAAATTTGAGCTAATTAACAGAAACCAACAAAACGGCTAAAGAGAAGAAACTACAAAGAATCACTGATCACAGTTTTTAAATGTGTCATTTAAGACTTTGTGAGCTTCTGCTGGTAATTTGAGTTTAGGAAATGTGAAAATAGAAACTGACAAAGTGACAGTCTTAACAGTTGGTTGAAGCACAGCTTAAATAAAATTATTGACGTCTGTCAATACTTTTGCTTATCTGAAGGTATAGTACTGTGCAAAAGTCAGAGACTACCCTTAATTTGTTTGATATACAGTGAAAAAGACCATTAAGTTCAAGATAATTCACTTGCATAAGGAAGGGGTAATCAAAGGAATAGAAGTGGAAAAAACAGTTCAAATAAAGATTAAAAGATACAGAGGAAATGGGATCCTTGCCAACCATGCAATACCTAGTAGGCCAACAGAACAGTCACCATGAGATAAACAGTACCAGAAACAAACAACAAACAACTCTGGAGGTGTGGAAAATTATTTTTGCAGATTTCTCTTAAGAACTGAAAATTGTAATTTTCAATTAAATTTATGTTTTTGGATTTTTTTTCTGACACTGAAAAAAATGAAGAACTTATACTTTGGTTTGAATGGAAATTGAGGGTATTTGACTTTGGCATTACTTTATATCAACCAATGTAATCAGTTATCAGAATTCTTGTTTTAATGGTCTTTAAATTTGAATTTTAAATTTTAAATTAAACTTTAAATGAAACACTTTAAATTTGACTATCAGTGACTAAATTTTTGGTCAGACACAAATGTAGACTATATTTTAGTCTTTGTTCATTGTCTCGGGTGATTGTCTCACATGCTCTCTTTGCCTTCTTTCTCAGGGGTATGCCCATTGTATAGATGTGTACATCAAACAGTGCCAAGAGGTGGGCCTTGTTTTGGGCTACATATTCAAAATATTTCAAGCAATAGAGAATAAGTGTTAGTGTATATAAAACTTATAGCTGCCTGGAGCAGCAGATGTACTTAAAAATATAGATGCTGTTACAGTTGTCGGTAACCACGGTGACAGCATCTTTTTTTATTCACTCCGTCTTCATTCTCAGGGTGCGTACATGCACAATGATGTGTTTGAGGACACAGCCCTTCTGTGTCAGCGAGTCAATAAACAAGTGGGAGAGGTCTTCAGCAGCCCAGAAACGGTGATGGCCAAACTCATCCAAAACATCTTTGAGAACAAGTTACAGGTATTCCTATGACTTATACACATGCTGATATAAATGATATGGGCACTATCATGCCGTTCACTTGTCTGGGGGCTGGAGTGACTAAGTTACATGCTTTCAGGCTCATGTAAGAGAAACACTTGATACTCGTCCCACTGAATTGGAGCAGTACCTCAAAAACCTATATGACCTCTACACCAGGTATTCTGCCCTAAGTCTCCTTTCTTTCATTTTTATTTATTATTATTATTATTATTGTCTTCATTTTTGCCCAAAAAGCTTAAAGATCATTTTGGCTGTTTTGGTTACTTGTTTGAGCAATGTTCTCAATTGCAAACCATGTTTCCTCTGATTGCAGGACAACAGCTTTGGCTGCTAAGCTAACAGAGTTTAACTTGGGCTCGGACAAACACACTTTTCTGTCCAAACTGATTAAAAGCATCTTCTCCACCTACCTGGACAGCTACATAGACATGGAGCAGCAGTATCTACAAACCCGCAGTGCCTCAATTCTGCAGAGGTACTATGACTCAAAGAACCACCAAAAACGGCCACTAGGCACTGGGAGGTAAGAAGCCCTTTAAATGCTGATGATGTCTGTGTGGAGGGGTATCGTTGTATTCAGTGGCAAAACGTGACTATTACAGCTATGCCTTCAAATCGCCAAAACTCAGTGTTGCCAAAACATGAGGAGAAGAACAGTTTGACGATAAAGCTAAATTCTGTAAGCACCCCTGTAGGATTCTAATAGTTTGTTAGCACTAAGCTAATGGCAATTTGCATGAACACTTTCTGATAAGGCTGAAGTTTTTATTCAGATTTTCTGTTCCACCTTAAACAGTGCAGCAGTTACATTCTGGTGCAGTTGTAACGTATGTAGCACATTAGCATATAGTTTAGCTTGTAGCAGTTTCACAATTACTCTTTCAGTACTGAGCTCTAGTATAGAGCTGCCATATTCAGTCAGTGATGCATCTGGAACATCCAGAAGGCTTTGACATTTTTTCTCACAAATTTGGCCCCACCGACTGGAAATCAAAACATGATGGGTTGATCCCTCTGTCACTTTGTAATTCTGCTGATAGTTAATCTAACATGTTGGAACTTCTCTTCAGCTCTTGAAGTTGTAACCAGTAGTTTAGCTGTATCTACCTAGATACCACAGAGAAAAACAGTTCCTGATTGGCCGAATTTCCACTCAACGTTTTAAGAATTTAACGCTTTTTCTTTCCATCCTATACTTAACAGTGAAAGAGTAGTACTGTAATACTATAATACTACAAAATTGCATATTTCACCTAATATCAGGAGAAGACATTGTTACTCAAGGGTGCCCAGTATATTGTTTGTTAAAGGAATGATTTGGTGAAAAATCTAATTCATACAGTTTTCCAGCCAAGACATGTTTGGTGTCTTACGTTTGCTTCTTTAGTCTAGCGCTGGAGGCTAATGTTGCTAACAAACACTAGAAGTCAATAGTCACTCAAATATTTTCGAAAAATACATTTCTTCAACTTCTCTCAACCTCCTCAAGCCACATCCAGGTCTTCATTAGGGTCATGCAGACTTGTTGATATGGTTTAGGGCACAGTTTGACGTACTGATTTTAAAAGTGAACACAACTTCACAGAGTACCTGAGCACTGCAGGCAGCCATTAGACAAAAGCTGTTTGCTGTATTCTGACTCGCCCACAAAATCTTGACTCTCCTTCTTATTCACGTGCATTTTTACGGACAAATGGACTTAGATTACATTTGCATTTTCAGTTAGGAAATTTAAGATGTCTAGTTATTAATAAAAGGAAACAACGTTAAAGTAATTTGTGTTATCCATATGTACAGAGGAGTCAGAATTGGGCACAACGCTACCGAAAGTGGCTGCCCGCAGTGTTCAGCTACATGGTGAAGTTTTGTTAATTTTTATGCTGCACAGTAAATCCTGCTGTGCCCTAAGCCACATCAACAAGTCTGTGTGACTTTAAAGAGCCCATCTCCCACATTTGGTCTATTTTATTCTATTCTCAGAGTTCCAGTTATGCCATTTATGTGGTTTTATGGACAAAAACAGTCCTAATTAAATTTTACATGACCATTTTCTCTTTATCCCCTCCGCTATGTGTCCAGAGCACCAAACTGGGTTAGACTTGGGCCCTCAGTTCCAAACCCCTTCATTAAAAAAAACAATGAATTGGAAATGTTCTGTTTTTGCAGTATGGTTACCATATATGCACTGGGAAATGAATTGTACATAACTTAAACACTGTTTACATACTACATTAAAGCTCTCTATTTCCAAAAGGTTTTCTGTGATATGGGGTAATTTTTTATAGAATTTGTTTCTATAGGTGTCTTGTTGAATTACAAGTTATGCGTATGATCTAATAAAAGTAAATTTTAAAAAAAAAATTTTTTTTTTGGATTTTTACCCAATTATCTCCCCAATTTAGTCGTCCCCAATTCCACCTGCTAGTTAGGACTCCCCCAATCACACGATACTACCAACGCTAGGAGGGTGGAGGCTAACACAGGCTTCCTCCGAGACCTGTGAAGCTAGCCACCGCTTCTTTTCGAACTGAATCATTGGACAGTTGAACGCGCTCGGAGGAAAGCGCCAACTGCCAGATCTGTTACGTCAGCTAACAGACACCTGCGCTGACTAGCATCGCGTTGAGTGATGGGGAGAGGGAGGGGCCATCCTACCCACCCAGAGAGCGAGGCCAGTTGTGCTCTCTTGGACTCCCGGCTACAGATGGCTGTAGCATCACCAGGGATCGAACTCGTGATCTCCTGATGATAGGGTCAACGCTTAGACAGTTGCGCCACTCGGGAGCCCAAAAGTAAATCATTTTGATCAAAAGAATGCAGGCCAATCTTTAACCATGTCAGAATATTGGTTATATTGTTAATTACATTGATGTATTTGTAATGCTGGTATTTGTCTGCATCGTCCAACCCTGGTGCACAGTTTCAGGCATTGAAGAATACAGCTTTGCCCAGACTAGTATTGTCTTTGCTGTGTCACACCTGGTTTAGTTGATTTCCTTTTCAGCATTAATGACAAGTGTACGTTAAGTGTCCTCTGTAGTGCTGTAGTCTCCCAGGACTGGTTGACATTCCTGCTCATCTCTGCATAAAGTGTTTGAGTGCCTTTGAAAGTGCCCGGGGAGCAACACTTGCTCACTCTGTCTCTCTCACATACACATGCAGTATCCAGGAGCTGAAGGAGAGGATCAGACAGCGCACAAATCTGCCCTTGGGCCCCAGTATTGACACACATGGAGAAACTTTCCTCTCACAGGAAGTTGTGGTCAACCTGCTGCAGGAGACACGCCATGCATTCCAGAGATGTCACAAGGCAAAGAACATTTCATATTATTGTTGGCACTTTTGGCTGTAAAATGATGGATGTTTAGCTACTGCCATTTAGCATAACATCTGTATCTCTTCTTGCTTCACAGTTGTCTGACCCAGCTGACCTTCCTAAGAATGCATACTCTATCTTCTTGCTCTTGGTAGAGCACCTCTGTGTGGATCATATTGACTATGCCTTGGAGATTGGCCTTTCAGGTAAGAAGACAATCATATAATGCATACTATTGCATTAGCTTGTGAACTTTTAACAGAAAAGATTGTTTGTCCCTACACAGCTATTCCTTCTGCAGACGCCAAAACTGCCAACCTCTACTTCTTGGATGTGGTCCAGCAGGCCAACACTATCTTTCACCTCTTTGATAAGCAATTTAATGATCACCTCATGCCTCTTATTAGGTGAGTGTGGGTGTTAAAAGGCCAGTTATATGCATCTTTGTGGTGGAGAGTTTTTTTTTTTTATTTTTTGCTTCCCTTTACTGGCTCTTATGACCTTCTGTGACTCCTGTAGTTCATCTCCTAAGCTGACGGAGTGCTTGCAGAAGAAGAAGGAGGTGATTGAGCAGATGGAAGTGAAGCTGGACACTGGGATTGACCGGTTGGTCTTTCATTATTAAACCTGAATGTCCATTATGAGCTTGAACCTGTTAAGGCTGGATATTTTGTGCTAGAACATAAAACACTGAGATCATAATAATGTACACTACCAGTCAAATACGTTATATTAATGTTTGTTGAATGTGTCCAAAACAAAGAATTTAAATATTATTGAAATATCTCCTCCACCAAATGGTTTTCAGGTAGCAAACAAGTGCTCAGCATATGTAGCATATACAATATCCAGTACACCGTTCTTAATACTTCACTGTATTATATAAATGTTGTTGAATATGGTAGCTTTGGATTAAAACAAAAAAAAACATTTAATCAATCAGTAAGTTTGTTGATTTTGTTGCTTGTTTTTAGGACACTGAATTGCATGATTGGTCAGATGAAGCACATTTTGGCCACTGAGCAGAAGAAAACTGACTTCAGGCCAGAAGATGAGAACAATGTCATGATACAGTACACTACAGTAAGAGACCGAAATAACAATTTCTGAATTCTATCACAAATTCTGTATAATGTATATTTGTAGTCATTACTAATGTTACAGTGCTGCTGTTTGTCTAACTGTGCTGTGTTTTGTCTCCTCAGGCGTGCTCTAAGGTGTGTGCGTATGTAAGTAAGCAGGTGGAGCGCGTGCGGAGGTCTATGGATGGGAAGAATGTGGACACGGTCCTGACCGAGCTGGGCGTGCGCTTCCACAGGCTCATCCATGAGCACCTGCAGCAGTTCAGCTACAACTACATGGGGGGCATGCTGGCCATCTGTGATGTGGCAGAGTACCGCCGCTGCGCCAAAGATTTCCGGGTAAGGAAAGGTCAAGGGTCAAGGGTCAAAGGTTATAAGTGTGTTAAAAAGGGCTGCAATTTTCAGATATTTTCATTTTCAGATGTTCTATTGAATGCCATCTCAAATATTTGAATGTCCTATAAGGATAAGAAAAGCTCAATGTTTCATTCCAATGAATAAAAAAAAACCTGGAACTTTTCATTTTTTTAAATTATTATTACTATTTCTAGTGATACACGGAGATGAATATCAGCAGACGTGACTGATCCACTATCAAAGGTGTTTCTTAAACACAGCTGTTAAAAAATCGAACAGTGTCATTCCAAAAATTTCCAAATTTTCAAATTTCAAAAACATTGTTTTTTTTTTTATCCATGAAACTAAATACTCTTAATACAGCTATTATGAAAAATTACATTACAGGCAAACTTGTTTGAGATGCAAGGGCAATTGTTTTTCTACAAAGCATGTTAAAAGTGTCAAAATAAAAGCCCTTTTAACAAAGCATGACTGCGTGTCAGGGTAAAAGCCCTGTGCAGGAGGGGTTTCTAATTCTGTTGTGCTCTGCACCAGCTTTGCCACCAAGTATATTTAACATTTTTTATGGCTAAAATACTTAAATTGATTTGAGGTAATAAGATGATAATTCAAATCTCTACAGTGATTAGTTAGACTTCATAGCCCTAAAATAAATTAGTAGTGAGTAATATAATTGAAGATGAAATAGTGTACCTCACTTGAATAATTCTTAATTACCAATAATTCCTAAAATAGATATATCATGTTTTGGATTAATCTTTTCATTTGTAACTTCACATTATACAAGGGAGCCAAATCAAAACTTAAAAATGAAAAATTTTGGCTCAGTATTCAGTATCTGCTGATATTGTGAGTTTCGATATCAGAATCGGGAAAGAGAAAGCTGGATCTGTGCATTCCTCCTCCTACTACTTCTTCTCACAACCCCATTTCCAAAAAAGTTGGGATGCTGTGCAAAATGTAAGTATATGCAGTTATGTGAACAAATCATTTAAACCCTATATTTAATTGACAGTAGTACAAAGACAACATATCAGATGGTTACACTGAGAAATTTTATTGTTTTGAAAAGTGTATGCCTATTTTGAATTTGATGCCAGCAGCAGCACCCATTTCCAAAAATTTGAGACGTGGGCATCCTCTTTTTTTAAACAATACTCTATAAGCATTTGAAAACTGAGGAGATCAACTGCTGTAGCAAGTGAAATGTTTTCCCATTCTTGCTTAATATAGGATTTCAGCTGCTCAACAGTTCGGGGTCTACTTTGTCGTATTTTTCGTTTCACAGTGCGCCAGATGTTTTCAAGGGGTGACAAGTCTGAGTGCAGTCCAGCCAGTTTAGCACCCGCACTCTTTTACTATAGAGCTATGTTGTTGTAATACATGCAGAAAGTGGTTTAGCATTGTCTTGCTGAAGTAAGCAAGGCCTTCCCTGAAAAAGACCTCATCTGGATGGCAGCATATGTTGCTCCAAAACTTTTATATAGTTCAGTATTAATGGTGCCTTCATAGATGTGCAAGTCACCCATGCTATGTGCACTAATACACCTCCATACAATCATGGATAACAAGCTGGATGGTCCCTCTCCTCTTTAGCCCAGAGGACACGGTGTCCATGATTTCCAAAAAGAAAAAAGAATTTCAAAATTTGATTCATCAGACCACAGGGCACTTTTCTGCTTCGCCTCAGTCCATGTTAAAAGAACTTGGGCTCTGGGAAGGTGGCAGCATTTCTGGATCCTGTTTATATATGGTTAAATATCATGTCTGTTTTTAATGCAGTGCTGCCTAAGGGCCTGAAGATCATGGCCAGCCAATGTTGGTTTTTGGCCTTGTCCCTTGCATACAGAGATTTCTCCAGATTCTCTGAATCTTTGAATGATGTTATGTATCATAGATGATGAAATCCCCAGATTCTTTTTTTTCTAAAACGTTGAGAAATGTTATTCTTGAGTTGTTGCACTATTTGCCTGCACAGTCTTTCACAGAGTGGTGAACCCCTCCTCACCAATATTTCTGAAAAACACATCCTCTCTGGCATGCTCTGTTTACACTCAGTCATGTTACTGACCTTCTGTCAATGCCTTCAACCGAATTAGATGTGAGATGTTCCACAAGGTGTTTTTTTGGCATTACACAAGTTTACCAGTCCTTTGTTGCCCCTTTCCCAACTTTTTTGAACGTGTTGCTGGCATCAAATTCAAAATGGGCATATATTTTTCAAAAAAGAAAAGTTTCAGAATTTTATATGTTGCCTTTGTACGATTTTCAATTAAATATAAGGTTTAAAATATATTTACATAATTGCATTTTGTTTTTATTTACATTTTGCATAGCGTCCCAACTGGAAACAGGGTAAAATTACTGCTTTTTTAATTTCATAAATCATATTAATTTATTATAATTTTTTATTCAAGCATTTTAATAGTAAGTAGCATAAAATAATAAAATCTGGCAACACAGTTAGGCATCATCAGCTTTGAGCAGTGCACAGCTGATCATCTTTTTTAAATATCGTCTTAAATGATGGCCATATTTTTTTTAGATTCTATATGATCGAGTGTTTTAAAATGCTGAAAACTACTTTATCAGAGTACATGATGTCTTACTATCAGGTCCAGTATGAGTCTCTTCTTGCTCGGAACAGCTAGAGCTGTAAAACTTTAACACTGAGTACTTCATTCATTTCTGTTTTTATGAAAGTAGTTAAAAATTGATCATTTGAATGTCTGTACTGTTGTACTGTTTTAATTATCAGATGTATCATATTTTATTGAATATTTGTTACAGCCCTAGTGTTATTTATCTAAAGAGGTGATGTTATTTACTCTTTTACCATTTGTGTATTAGATCAACCTGGTAAATCAGGGAAGTAACAGCTGTGTCTGTATCTTTCTCAGGTTTCTCTGGTCCTGCAGCTCTTTGATACACTTCATGCTCTGTGCAACCTCCTGGTTGTTGCTCCGGATAACCTGAAACAGGTGTGCTCCGGAGAGCAGCTGACCAACCTGGACAGGAACCTCCTACATGCCTTTGTGCAGCTTAGAGCAGACTATCGCTCGGCCAGACTAGGTCGCCATTTTAGCTAATGACTACAAATGTGCTGCACAGCCCACCACACAGCCGTCCAATCAGAACAGCCCACTTGGTAGGCAAAAGCACTACTGCCAAACTGAGTTGCTCTTGGACTCCTTTATTCCTAAAATTAACAATCTCTCCATGGATGTGAGACTGTGTGGTCCCACCTTAACTGAACAGTGAATATTTATGGATATGCCCCCTTCCATCTGTTTTATTTCTGAATTTGCTTTTTGCCTTCTAATCTCATCTTTTAACTAGTATACTGCATATGCGAATGTGCAGCATTTCATTTGAAATGTATTCTTCACTTCACAGCGTCCTTGCATTACAATTTTTAAGGCCTATTTTAATACAGGTGATATTGATCTGTAAAAAGAGAACATTGTAAAGAGGGTCGCTTTAGGTTTCTATGGATTTTGATGTGGAGTGGGTGAAGCTGAATGAACTACAGTGGACCAGATTTGAAATTCTGCAGAGATCTGAGGGAGAAGGAGAAGAGACTCGTTTGTTGGCATTTGTTTTTATTGTACCAAATATTTGTGGCTCTGCTGGCACTGGAGACACTTCAGCAAGCTGCTCTAAAGAATGATGAGCTAACTCACTAATGAGCAACAGCTAATTTCTGTTTTTTTTTTCTTCCCAACATAGGACTTAATAGAGATCTAATATGAATTCTGTGCTTGGTGTGCAAGTTACAGAGTTTATATATGCAGTTAATTCAACATAATCAAGACCAAGCAACAAAACCTACAATACACTACACTGAACAGATCACTGCTTAAAACATAAGTCATTGAATAAATAATTGAATTGTTAAACAAATCGTAGTAATTTTGATATTTGTCATGTTGTCCCATAGGTCTAGTGACTTATGATTGCCTGCCAAAATCATCTTGAAGGGTACTTTCAATATTGTTAAAGCCACACTTTGTAACTTTGGCCAATTTGGGGAATTGGCGACATCTCTGGTGGAAATACGTAACTGCACAAACTGTGTGGAAGAACATTGTGTAATGTGGGCTGTGCTGTGGTCCCCTTGCCTGAGTGTTAGCCTTGGAACTTATCTGAGAATAATGGCTAGCCTGGTTTATCAAATAATAGAGGATGAACTCTAAATTAAAAGAGACAAAGTAAGCTATGCAGCTAATATTAGCAAATTTGCCAGCTAACGTTAGCTATACAGCTTAAACAACTTCACAATTACACAGGTACATTGGTACATTACAGGTACATTACAAGGTAACATTAAATTCCACAACAGTAATAATCTGGCTGGCTATTATCAGTAGTTAGCTAACAAACAACCAACATAACTTACCTATCCAGCAATAAAAAGCCAATTCAGCATCACTCCTGAGTCCCTTCATGTCACGGAGCTGTTGCCACATCTAAAAAGCCAAGCCAATGTTGATTCTGGTCTTAGCTTGATCTCTGTTGCACTCCCTTTTAGCTCGCTGGCTCTGTTCAGTTCTACGCTTCTTTGCTTTGACCACAGGTGTCTCCATATTCAGTGATATCTCTCTCCTTCCTTTTACTCACATTCAGCACTGTGAGCAACACTCCACCAGTGTTTCTCAGGAAACCAGTCTAAATTGAGCCAGACCTTCTTTTTGAGTCTGTGCTTGTGACGACAATATGTAAAGACGTCTGATGTGGTCTGAAAACCTGCCCTATCTGACCTGACAGTTTTGATTTTTGAATATTTCAAGCTTTAATGGGAGACTCATAGCAGCACAAGAACACCATCATTTAGCAGATTTTTTCTCTCTTGACTCAGTAATGTGAGTTCTTTCAATTTTAACAAAGAAATCTTACCTAGTGCACCTTTAAGGATGCAGAATGATATTGGAATCAATTGCCTAGAAAAAATTATCGGACAGATGTTTAGATTTGGCCAATATTTCAAACCGAAATATGATGGCTTCTGTATTGTACTTTATTTTTTATTAATTTTACTGAATTTGTAACCCTACAGAAATTAGTGTTACGTTTCCCTGCAATGCCAACATGTTTATATATCTGCAGAGGCATCAAAAATATTGGATATTGACATGGGCCCAAAATTTCCACATCGCTGCGTCTGTAGTTAATTTACATTTCACCTGTTTTTTTCTGTGATGACAAGCTGTTGATCATCACACTTTATTTGCTGGGTGCAGCTTTACATATTAATGTTCTACAGCACCAAACTCTGTGGGAGGCTGACAGTTGTGGTTATTGGGTCATGAGTACAAAAATTTCTAAAATTCCAAATAGCTCCACTTGAATGGCAAGATACAGTGCAACAATCTGCCTGTACTTTTGGCACTTAACAAAGAATATATATTTCTAAGTGCATATTTGTTCTGTAGGCAATCTTAATACATAAATTTCTTAACAGTGAGGTTTTGAAACTATCATTATATTTTAAGGCTTTCTTACGGCTTATTTCTGTGCGTTCCAATGCCCAATTAACCTAATGTAAGCCTCTTGAGGAGATAAGCTATTGTAGAAAATTTCTATATAAAGTGTCAAGCATTAAAACGTAGGCCATGCTGAATAAAATAGATCGGAAATACTGAGTTTATCCCTAAATGGCACTGCATTTGAATGTACAGTTAGCACTACTATGCAACCTACAGCATTCCTGGAACTTTAGAGATCACAGACACATAGTGAAATTTAGGCCAAATTCAACACACAGAAGGGCAGTTGGTCGATTTTGGATAGCACGGGTCTGACCTGTCTAGTCCAGATGTCTATCTACAGGATTGGTATGAAGCTGCAACCATCAAAATGTTTTTTCAACACCCAATATTCTCCCAACTGTAAACCTAGTCTTTTAATCAGGGAGTGATGTACTTTATGCAGTGTCATGTGACTCAATTTGAACTTTAACTCTCAGCATCTATGGAGATCTATGGAAATCAGAGACATGTGACTCCTGGGTCTGACCTAGGTGTTTGGCCACTAGAGAGGATCAGGTGGAACTTCTCATGAACTATATCCAGTGGTTGATCTCATATGTTTATTCTGAGACATTGATATGCTGGTCAGCTGACACCAACGCTGCTTGATATCATCTATTCTACAAAGATAAAGTTTTTTCTCACTGAAGGCAACATGCTAAAAACAAAATGAGGTAATTAACATTTCAAAGTAGGCCTGGAGTCTCTTCACCTCAAAAGACCCCCTACTCTCATTTGAGCTGCTAAACTTGTATAACTTTATAACTCTAATGTCTACTCTGTTTTTCACTTGATTAGGTTAGAGATGAAGGTTTGGAGGATTTCTCCCTGATATCTCCCTGCACAACACACAAAGGGGAGATACACAGTTTTCACTCTCTGCCATTTGTCCCAGGCAACAACAGGGATGTTTATTTTATTATTGCACTAAAGAACATTAAGAAAGAAATTTTGCCAATTTAAAGGCCTATTGTGTTTTTCTTTTATCAGCCTATGTTAAAACATCACAATTAACAAACAATCTTTTTTTTGTTGAGTGAACTGATTTCTGTCTTGTTAAGTTAAAATATAAGTTAAAAGAAAAGTTAAATATTTTAAATGAAAACATTTAATACATAAATAGTTCAGGTTCAAAGTTATATTATTTTCATCTTGACATAAATTCCCTTATCTTTAAAAGGCCTAAGTCTTTGATAAAAGAACAACATTACAAATTAAATGAAAATGTTATAGAAACAGTACTGCTTTCTATTTGTGCTATTTAGTATGTGTGCAGTGTATAATATAAAATAATGTTTGTAATAACAGCCCTACACTCAAGCATGCTGATGTGCCAACCAACCCGGCCCACATCAGGACACTTTTTATTTACTTCATGTTAGCTAGCTATCCTTGGCTTTCATGTATCGTAATATATCAAAATAGCTGATTGTCATTTCTGCTAACTTAAGATATTTTAAAACATATCTATAATGTACAGAGAGACATTTTTTGTTTAACACAGAAAAATCAAACCCAGAGGAAAGATTCTACATAAGATCTCCTCTTAATCTCCTGTACATCTCCTGGATGTGGTTAAGGTCTATTCGAAACGACAGTCAGACTTAGGCCATTTTCTCCTCTTTCTGAAATTTGGCTCCTGAGAAATAACCTTCAGACTTTTCACTTTGATCAAAATATTGTCACACATATGGATTAACTCTTGTGTCTGACTCATCTCAATCCAGTCTTCGCTGAATAATCTGATGTCAATCTCCTTTTTTTGCTAGGGGGTTTAGGAGACAGAAGTCAGTGACCCTTCATTAACACAATATTGAGAAATGCTTAATTTCTTTGTGAAAATCTTAAATCAGTTCTGGGAAAGTTACCCCCATCTTAAGAGCTTGTTCAGAGCCTTCAACAAAATGGATGAACGGTGGTCAAGAGGACATTTATTAAAGTTACATATTGTTAAGAGTACCCCTCACTGACCCAGAACACCGTGCCAACCGACTCCTGTGCTAACCAACCCCGTTCTCTCTCCTACAAAGGTCTGAGAGAAGACAAGGTGAGCTGGTTTTCCCTGAAGTCGTGATATTTCCATTGTAGGCCTGTAGAAACACTCGCCTCACAGACTCATCGCGTTTTCTTAACCATAGAGGTTTAGGGTAATATGTTCCCAAAGGAGGGCAATTTATTCTCGCAATTTAAGCGACAGAATGGGCCAAAACTGGGGGCTTAACCGCCCAGCGGTTTGTGAGACGTGTGTGGTCGTGGTGGCCGATGGAGAGAAGGCCGACAGTGAAACGGAGAGAGAGCAGAAAGCTAAGTTAGCTAAGCTAAGCTCTGTCTCCGCCAAAGCGTGCTGTTGCGTCGAAGGTAGGTACACAATGACAAATGGGCAAAGTTAAACAGCACAATTAATTAGGCTAATATTAATATGATCAATGCCGTGGAAATTCAATTCTCCCAGCCCTAATCACAACCGGATAGCTTGTAAAAATTATTTTGTTAGGCCCCGGTGCAAACACCGAGGCCTTTTCCAAACATTTGAGCACTATTTGTTTTCCGTGGCGATTAGCGTTTGCCGTTAGCGAGCGGGCGGAGGGCCGATAAGAGGAGCGAGGGAAGCGGGGAGGAGAGGAGCATCCCGCGGGCCCGGCTAACTCTCTCTCACAGTCAGGGCTGCTGTTCGGGGGGAGATGTGTTTGAGCAGGTGGCGCGGATTAGGAGCACTGTCAACAAGCCTCCTCAGCCCTGCTCATTAGCCTTCATGATTTTACCATTTCCTCACACACACGCACACACGCACACATATCTGTCTTTTCCTCTGTGAAGATAGCATTTGTTTTGGGAAGGCCCGAATCCCCTTGGAGGTGTAGTTGGTCAGGTACATTGGGCTGCTGGATGCAGTACTGAAACTGATTTGCATTAAAATTGCTTGCGAAGTTTTGATGGCAGCGTGGTCTGACTTCACACTTAAAAATGATAGTTCTTCAAGGGTTCTTTAGTAAAAACAGTGGTTCTATTTAGAACCATAAGTTCTATATTGATATCAGTATATCAATAGTTTATTGCATGGTGAAATGTTTTTTCAGATTGATGGACAGTGTGTTGCATATGGTTCTGTATAGCACTAAAAAGGATTCTGCTATTGTTGTCATGTGTTTTACCAATAGAAGAACGCCTTTTGGCGCTATATAGAGCCATTTTCAAAAGGTTCTATATAGAACCATATACAGCACATTTTTCAACAATCTGAAGAACCATTGCCTTTACTAAAGAACCCTTGGAGAATATTTTTAAGTGTGCATGTTAACATTTTTGTATTGAAGAGACCAGTGTTTAAATTTGAAATGGTAGCTCTAGCTTTGGGGTTCATACAGGACAAAGTGG